GTCGGGGAGGAGCCGGGGAGGAGCCAGATGTTCTGTCCACGCCGCACACATAATCAGGGGACCATTCAGCGGACCCAGATACTGCCAAGATGCCCACCAACAGTTGCGCCCCCCGCCCGTTGCCTCCCCAACTCGCCCAGAAACGCACAGAAAAAGAGAAAGTGGAATTGAACAAAAAAATAAAAGTCGACGCACAGCGGTTGAACCTGCCTGAAAGCATCCGCAGAGCGGCGACAAACATGAGCCATCGGCGAAGGGCCACGTTCGACATGGCAGTCGGGGGGGGGTGCCCTTGCTCGATGGCCGATCGCTTGGGTTCCGGGTCGAGGCGGGTGGGTCGCTTTTGAACGGCGCGGAGGCTCTCAGGGGGCTGGGCACGAAGGAGAGTCCGCGGCCACTTCGGGTCCGGGTGAAAAGGTGAAAAGGAGGGCTGGGCGAAAATAGCGGTGACGCTTACGTTCGCGTCGCGAAAATAGTGACGCTTGATGTGTGTGGTTCTTGGCACCGAGCGTGATACCCAGACACAAATGGTCAGGGGGCGCTCAAATGCCCAAGATAGGTGACAGGGGGGCCACTGTGTCGATCTTGGTACGTTTAACGTCAAATTGACGCTCAACCAGCGCCCCCCCCCCCCCCCTGGTATGTTTTGTTGTTGTTCCTGCTACTCGAGCTGTGTGATCACATCGGACTGGAAGGCTTTGCAGCATCCACTCACAGTATGGAACAGAGTCTCGCCTACACTTGTTGAGGGGCTGGAGAAGGGGAGGGGGGTGGGCTTGGGGGGTAGGTGCTTGTGTGACTTGTATCTGAATGTTTGAGAAAAAGCTTCACTAGGGAAAAAGGGCCAAATAACACGTGTTCAAACGTGTGAAAAGTTGACGGGTTTGGGTTGTTCCCGTGTTTTTAGCATGCACAACACTGATGATATGCACATGCATGTGTTTGCCAAAAGTGTTATTTGGTCCTTTTTATGCTAGTGCTCTCCACACCGTTGGCGTCCATCTTTGGGCCTCCGCTGGCGTGACTCAGCAACAGCACGAGACAACAGCCCTGCACAGCCAGGAAAGCGCTGCGCTCCCCACCGCTGCCACTGCCCAGGGAGTTGTTGGTCCTAGTCAACTGACAACTTCCGTCGGTGGTGCCCCTCAGGCGGGCGGTGCTGTCCTGTGCATTGCCATTCAATTCGAAGGACATGCTTGCGCGATTGAGGACGCCAGCTGCTGGCACTTTGTTGACTATTGTTAATTATTCCTCCAAACTGGCTCATGCCACAAAGATTTTCTTGAAGCTGCTCTGTGTTGTACAGAAGCTTCTTACTGACGCCGTAAAACTGATCGTATTTACTTTTTACGTGTGAAAACAATTTCTCCGTTTTTACGCGCAAAAACAATTTTTATCTTTTTACGGGTAGATAGGCGCAAAATTACGTAAACACGACGTAATACGATCCCGTGTACATAAAGACAGTACATAAAGACTAGGGAGTCCAGGCAGCGGCAGCAAGACGCGCTGGAATGGGCAGAAACGGACTTTTGTTCCACGCCGTCGTTGTCCTTGCCCCGGGTGAGGTGGACGCTGTGTTCCAGCTGTTGGAAGGGGCGGAGGACTGATCATTGTAAGCGACTTTGATCGCGTAGCCTGGCTGTCACAACGAGCAGCAAAACCATACATAACAGCTGTAAAAATAGCACTTTTACAAATGTACGATTTACGTGTAGAAAACGTAAACGTAACAAGGTAACAACGTAAGAAAGTGAAACCCCAGAAAACGCAAACGTAAATGACGTGAATGACGTGAATGACGTGAACGTAAACGCAAACGTAAATGACAAGCCTGGTTGCGTATGTGCAAGCTGTGCATCCCGGCACAACCAACCGAGTGGGGTTCTTCGCGGGCCGGGCAATTGGCCCGTGCAGGAATAATTGCAGCTTGCTGGCGATGCTTATGAAGGGCGGGCACTGCCAGCTTCGTTCTTGTATTCGATGGGAGCTGTCCAATGTACTGTAATGGATTAGAGATGGCATGTGGGAGGGCCCTGGGCTCTGTCAATTGATACATTTCCAAGGCGTGCCTTCCGGCTTGTTCGAAATATCCTTGAGCGCCACACTAACGCAGCTTAACGCTCAAGGAGATTTGCAACAGCCCAGTGGTGTTTGGGGCAACTTCTCAATACAGAAAGGTGAGGCAATTGTGCAACTCCCACACAACTTAGACGTAATGTGCCGGTTGTGTAAAAATCATGAAATTTCTTTATCGCCACAGTTTCCGCCCTTCCTGGGAGTCAATTAACGACGAGGTACAGAAACGGCATGGAGTATGGCCTAAGCCCTCTTCCTTACCCCTGGCCGGGTGGTTTGGTGGAACGATGGGACATCCACCTAGAGGTATCCGGGTCGATCCCGGTCACACATCCTCCTTGCCATCCGCACTAAATCAGCAACCCGGCATGGCCAAACAAATGTCCGCAGGCCGCGTGTTGGGTGGAAGGGCGCTTAAGGGGTTGGACTGCCCTCTTCCTTTGCCCTGGCTGGGTGGTTTGTTGCAGCAGTGGGGCCTAGATGTATCCGGGGCGATCCCAGTCAGACATCCTCTCTTTACCACCCGCACCAAAACACTGCGAAACATTCGAGAATCTGCGCACCGCCAGTTGACACCAGTTTTACAGATCAAGGCCAAGGGGTGGCCATCAGCTTCCTATTTGCTATATTTACCTATTTACTTTATTTTTTTTTTATTTTTAAAAGCGGTGCCTGTGAAGTGTCCATGACCGCCAGCTGTCACCAGTCCGCGGCATATTCGATGCGCTCGATGGCGGATGACGGTCGTTCCCCATTGTACGGCGGTCGGGGTAGGTGCACCCCCCCCCGCGGCAAGGCTCCCCCGCGGACGCAGCCCCAACCACCCCATTTCTCGCAGCCGCCGCAGCCGCTGCGCCGCTGTGCAGAGCCCTTTAGCCCTCCTCCGGAGCCGGCACTCCGCTTTGGCCTCGCAGTGGTTCTTGGCGCCTCCCGCGCAGGGGTAAGCAATCCACGCCGGGGGGGAGGGAAGGGGGGGTAGGATTTGTTGCAAAGGGAAAGAGAAACAGGTCATACAAAGGGCAACCCCTCCTAAGCAAGTGTACGCGAGGCTCTTTGGCATGCTGCGGAAAGATGCTGTGGAGTCTTCGATGCGAAATGATGAGCGCACAGTGCAAGAGGGTGTGGGGGCGCGTGGAGGGCCATTCTGAGCGTTCGCGCCGCTCCCCGCCGTGGCCTAGCGTTTGCGATCTAATTGTTGTCGCGATCTTGCAGCGTTGCCATTCGCTGGGCGGGGACAGGGATCTGTCCGTCTACGCTGTTGGGCTGGGCGGATTTTGGGGCCCCGTCGGTTCCAATAGGTGTCCCAGTTTGGAGTTTATGAAGTGCATGCCGCTGCTGTAAGCATGGAAGTAGATAGCGCTGTTGCTGGGGCTGGGGTCAGTTGGGTGGTTGGGATGGGATCAGGACCTGCAGAGCGTCGAGGGGCGCTCTGTGCGGGTCCCACTGACGTTCGACTCTCGCCTTTTGCTTGAGTAGTTTGGGGCAGGATTCGATCCGCCCGGAGCGGCCCTTCGATGAGCCCACGCGTTCGAATGCTTGCTGGCCAGCAGGCGCCATGGGATGGCGTGCGGATGGTGCTCCGATCCATTTTGCAAGGATAGCGGGAGAAAGGGGCAGTTTGCTCTACTTCAGGATGTAGATCAAGACAACGTGCCAGCGGGGATAGTTTGCCCACAGTTCTTAAGAGGAGGTTGCAGCAGCTGGTGTGCTGTCCGTTCGAAGCGCCCCTTGAATCAACAGGTGCTGGAAAGGTGAACGGCCCTGTATTGCTTCCTTTTCTGGTGTTGTCCTTGAAGTTGCCCTATTTTTAACACTTGTCAGCCGAAGATGGGCGCTTTAGCGAAGGGAAACGTGCCGTTCAATGGGCACACTTTTGCTTTCCACACTACTTGTGCTGCACTGATCTTAGGAATCTTATAGACGGCCCCATCCCAAGAATGCATTTCCGAGAGACACGCTGCAGCAGTGCAGAAATCGATGCAGAAGTCGCTAAATAGACAGCAGGATGAATGGCAAGAAAACTAGCAATTGTGGCCAAATGAGAAGGGGAGGGGGGGTCGGGGGTGTGGGGGTGTGAGTGGGTGGGTGGGTGGGGGTGGGTGGGGGGGGAATCTGGGGGTTTTCGCAGGGGGGAAATGCACAACCAAGTTTAAGAGTAAAAGGGGCGAATGTAATGTGAGGCAACTAAAGTTCGCCCACCACACTCAGCAAACAGCTCTACAAGAAGCCAGTTGCACAAAACTCCATCCCTGCCATTATTTGCCAACTACAGTGCGATTATGTTTGTGAGTTTTTTAATTGACACTCTGGCAAAGAGGCGATTACAAACACCAACAGACTCCTAGCAAGATTTTTGCTCTGGCAAGAGTTCTGGCACTGCCATTGACATTGTTGGCTTCAGAGCAGCTCGCAATGCAAAAACCTGGGCTGCTTGGTCGACTCCACATTGCCTGATTGTCAAATCCGAATTTTTGCCAGGATTGTGGATTTGGCATGTTCATAGGTTATTTCTGTTCGAGTGGCTGGCTCTTATGTTCCCAGGACATCAACCATTGCATATCTTGATGGCACCCTGTTGCTATCCCTTGCAGAACTCTAAACTGAAATCTTTGTGCCTGGGTTGTGGCAGTGCGCAGTCAAAATCGCCTTTCACCGTATTGGACAGATCGATAGCATGCGAGGCACATCTTGCCCTCAAAATTGGCATGGCACGAAATGTTCTGCATCGGTTATTATGTGCAAGGAGGACCGCTTGGGTTATGTTTTGACCAATGGAATCAAACAAGTCGTCCTGACTCCGGACTCCTCATGATCTCTGTTGCAATGTTATGGACAAATATGGTAGTGAGACAAATCTTGTCTTGTCAACATCAGGGACTGTATTCAAGGGAGGGGACGACACTGACGAGTTTTGGTGCAACATGGCGCGTCCAGATCTACTCAAAGTGAGTTTGTATACCCATGCTGACACTGATTGAGCCACCAGGTGGATCCATGATGTGGATCATTCTTCCTGTTATACTATTGTGAAATAGGAAGAAGTGCACTCTTCCACACAGTGGAAAAGTGGAAGCGATGGAGCAGCCCTGTGTTGCAATTCACCCTTCATCAACCAGGATCACAGTTTGTCAATATTCAACAGATGCACGTATTGACAGTGTACAGCGTGGTTCAAAGAGGTTGGGAAGACCTACTGAACAGCTAAACACAGTTGTCAGGCACAGTGCCTTGCCATGATGAGCTCCATGTTTCTCAGAGCTTTGTTGTATATTCAATGCAACTTTTTCCCAAATGCAATGCTGCGGTGGTACACACTTACTGCTTTTGGAGTATGTAGTGTGTAGTTTTCTCTATTATCTCAGCTGGGCAATCCAAATGCAGCAAACATTTACGCCAGAGTTTCCTGTGTGACAAGGCAAAATGCTGACAATCACTTTGCTAGTGTAGTTGGAAGCAGATACATGTATGCACACGGAATTGTGTGGTGCATGGGCACCTTCCCAGTACCATGATGGGGGTGCTGGCATTCAAGTGCATATTGTCACATTGGCATCTGTAGAAGGAATATGTCGCAGTGCCTACTGTTTGGTATGTGAGTGGCTATTTCTGCTTGCGCAGCTGCTTGTTTCAGCAGAAGGGCGCACTGGACGGAGTGCGACCATTTACTTGCACCGCCCTGTATGTTTGTTATCCAAAGCATAGCTACTGGCATGCTCAACCTTTTGAATCCTTTTTTCATTTTTAACTCAACCATTTGTGGTAGTTCGTGTTGACTTGATTCTGGAAATGCCATTGCACTTGCTGCAGTTCCAGAGTACTTGCTGGCTGTAATCAGACAATAAGGCACCATCAAAGACTGGAGCAAAGTGGAAAAAGCTTTTCCCACAGAATTGCCCCTCAACATGAAGCACCAACATGAGTTGACCATTTCAAGCAAGTTGTGTGTGTCGCATTGGCAAAGAAAACCATTGACGATCTGAAGAAAAGCGCCTGAGGCATGCAATGTTCAAGGACAGCAATTCACACTAGCTGTTGCCCGTGTTGAATTCTCGATCCTCATGGCTTGTGCCTGCCGTTCATTTGATCAGACGTCCGGCGGTGATCCACGGAGACCTCAGGCAGCCAAGAAATACAGTCGGCCTGTCGTAAATGCTGATGACCAGCCTCCAGACCCGATGCTCCTCATGGCCCTTGTGTTTGGAGTGCTTGCCCTGCTCATGAAGGTGGGCGGAGATTTAGAGCATCGATCAGTATTTCTTTGGATCACATTTGTCAATACTGTAGTATATTCAACCCCTCCCTATCAAGAATTTATTGTTACACTTTTTGCTCCACATTTTGCTTTCAGAGCATTATTTTGAAGTTTTTTGTATGTTATTCTGCACAAATCTGATGAAAGAGATTTATTTATTTTACTTCTTTCTCTGCGAAAAAAGGCCAAGAGTTACGTTACTGTGCGGAAAGGTTGAATGTACTGCGGTAGTTCTGAATGGCCAGTGCGCCTGCCCAGCCATCGAAGGCGGGGCAGAATCTAGGAATGATGTGACAACACGTTTCTGTGATCGTTGAGGACATGTACTGGCAAACAGCCTTGCTGGCTATAATTACAACAGCTGTGGCCAATGCCCCTCTCTCCTGAGCTTGAATTGCATCACTGAGCTTGCTGAAGAGAAGTTCCTGCGATCATCAAATGGTGCCAGGTTATATAATTGCATTGCCACAAGATCTTGGCGAATGCTGTGCTGGTTGTAGTTTGTTTCTGGGTTGCAGGTGCACCAATTCACGGGCTGGAGTGTGCACTTGCATCTTTCAGCAAAGAGTGCGTTGCACGAATTGGATGTCCAGCACAATACACTTGTGGTGATGGGCTTGCCTTTCTTTCAACTGTGCAATGCTGTTCATGAAGGGCCATGGATAGCAGTTGCGAAGACACTCTTGGGAAACAGCATTGTTGCACATGGCAGGCATTGACATATGCTGCATGGGGCAAGCAGGGGTCGTTCACTGTTCTAAAGACAAATCTGCATTGGTGATGGCATTTTCTGGACTGTAGATTCTGTGGTTCTGTTTGTGCAGATGAAGGTGTGTGCATGGTGCTCTGTGTTCTGCTGTATTTCTTCACTTGCGAACATGAAGAGCGAGTTGATGGACTTGAAGCACATCATCAGTTCAGTGACGTAAGTAGCAAAAGTTTTTCCGGTTGATTTGTTGCACTGTCAGTGATGTGGCACGAATTGGCTGTATGCTGCTCCATGCAGAAAGTAAGACATGTCAACCACTTCAGTGCATGTAGATTGAGTGGACCTGAGCCTCTGTGAAGCAAAAATCAATAGCAATGCATGTTGAGAATTGCAAACTGACTGAATGTTGATTGACTACTGCTGCAAGTCCTTTGGTTTTCACTAGACAATTCATCGAAACTGGTTTCCATGGACAATGTAGGAAACTGAGAGCTGCTTCCCTACTTTGGAGTCTCATGTTTCTTGACTGATAGGGTAGTACTTTGCGAGCTCTCTGGTTAATAGCAGCATGTGACTCCCTTCAAACAGGCTTTTCAGTTGTCTGTCAACAGTTTTGTGTAAGGGAATGCTGTTTGCAGTGTAATGGAACTTGTTTGCACATGGAACAGCGATCGAGTCCACAGCCTCCATCAAGGCAGGTCCATTTGCAGTTTCGTCAGGAACAGGAATGAAAGCACAAACTGTTGTGCATGCGAATGCCAACCGGCATCACATACCAACTGCAAGTGGAGCCTTTTGTCATATTTCAATGAGCTTGGCCACTGGTGAATCAGCACTCTGGTTCCCTTTATGCGTTGCCAGAGCAATCAGAACATACAGAAAATCCCAGGTGCTCAGATCCCAGTACGAACTTTTGGCTGCAGTTCACCACAATGGAAACAGGACTGAATGCACTGCCCACCACTTAATGCAGCTGTTATATTCAAATACGTCAGGGCTGTCACCACTGCTGCTAGAATCAGGAAAGCTAGACAGAGGAATGCCGCATGCTCATTGACTGTAATAACAAAACTAGTAAACTCTAGCACTGCTTTTTCAGGTGATGGCGCTCACAGTTTTCCACGGTGCCTGCTGCAGTATTTTGTTTGCTTCCAATCACTTAAAGCACAGACTGAAAGCAATAAGATCAACCGAAACGCTGGTGGAGCCACTATTTTCCACTTTCAGTTGTGAGCTCAGAATGTGGGCATTCATATTATGCGCCATATTTCCATTGTATTTAGGTGTATCACAGTATGTATGCATATTGCAAGTGCAATAGTTTTGCATCCATTACTTTTTATTTACTTTTTTATTTAGGTGTATCACAGTATGTATGCATATTGCAAGTGCAATTGTTTTGCATCCATTACCTTTTATTTACTTCTTATTTAAGTGTATCACAGTATGTATTCATATTGCAAGTGCATTTGTTTTGCATCTATTACTTTTTATTTATTTTGCTATTTAAGTGTGTCACAGCATGTATGCATATTGCAAGTGCAATTGTTTTGCATCCATTATTTTTTTGTTTTTGGTGCAGGTTTGCTGTGATGGGGCTGGTGGCCAGTTACCTTGTGCCAGTGTCACACCAAAGGTGAGTGCCGCGTGCTGAAGAGCCCCTTCACTATTAGGAATGCCTGCCAAAGTACTACGTCGGTTCACTCTACCTCAGCAGATCCACATGTATTCCGGATGAGAACTGGCCCAAAGAGATCCAAAGAAATCCGAAACAGGAGGAACAGAAGCCCACTGGTGTCCAAGGGCAGCTTTGCCAGGGTCACGAGCAGGCCGCGGTACCCCCAGAGCTGATGCACCTGCGCTGTCTTGTTGGGCTTGTGCATCATCTTCCACTGTCTTGCTTCCATGGCTATCGTTGGTTTGTGGGCGCAAGGTGAATCCAGCCTGCAGCACACCTACCTATTTGTGGATGTGCCCGCAGGAGATCGTCGGGCTGATCGCCATCCTGGCTGTCGACGACTTGCCCATCAGTTCACTTGCTGAAGCGGAAGAGCGACAGCGGCCAATGGCGGGCAGCAGGCGTCGCGGAGGGCCGCACTGCCTGGAAAGGACGTTCGCCGAAGCCAGCATATTACGCGGTGTGCGTCTTCCGTGAGGCTTCTGGGAACCTTTTCTTTGGTGTACAGGCCTGGAACCGTCTGCATGCTTGCACATCAGGATGCGTCTAAAAATGTAACAGGACTGCAATTTCTTGAACTGGGCCACTGCGCACTGTGGCTATGTGGTTCAATGTCATGTGCAAGGGGTCACCGACCGCCCTGGGAGGGTGCAGCGGCACTTCATGGTCTAGGCTCAGTATTATCGGCACTTCATCAAGTGGCGACCACTGAATCTCCCTGCAGAACAGTCAATGAATGCCCAACGTCCAAGAAACACCGATATCTGTCCTCACTGCCCAATAGCGAGGCAGATGGGAAGAATTGAGGCACTGGCCGTGCCTCTGCACACAAAGTGTCATGCTTGATACACAGAAGGGTCGACGATGTGGTGTGTGACTTAAAGTCATTTGGCACCGCGTGGGTTGTAAGGGGCATCCGTTGAAGCGAACAGATATGCTCCTGTATGGCTCTACATGCGTGAAGCGTGTGAGTGCACCATTACAAGCCTGCAGGCACGCCTCGATTGGCTCCCTGTAAGGTTGTGGGCCATCATATCTGCTGGCCAAAGTCACGGCAGAGGCTCGGCGGTGAGGGCCATTGTGCCGCCGCCTCAATAGCTGCTGAAAACGGCGCCACGGAACAGGCTTCATGCCAAGGGACTCGGTCCCGCTGTGACACCTTTTGATGATCACACGGTTGTCACCAACGAACAGGTGCTGCGTGCCTTCGCAGCCCAAGGGGGTGCACGCTTCGGGCCGCGATGGATCGACGCCACGTGAGTCGCATCAAAAGGACCTCTTTTGCTGCATTGAGTTTATGAGCAGAGGTGATCCAGAGCGTCTTGCAACCCGCCAGCCATGCGCATTTCAGCACCACGAGCTGCCGTGGCCGTTTCCGGCCACTTTTCCAATACTTCTTGCGACTTTGATTTGATAAATTTGCTATTTTAGGAGCAGCCACGCCCATTCCCTCAAACGATGGAAAACTCAAGAATGATTAAAATTACAAGTTAGGATGAGGTGCTCGGCAAGTTGGTTGCCACCCAATGTGCTCGCGTCGCCAAGGTACAAAGACGGTCTCATGTGCGCCCGCAAACGGCGATTAAAAGTCTACAAATGCAATGGTAGTTTCTGTCGCATTTCCGATTCAGTCAGACAGCGCTGCTCGGCCTAGAAAGACTCTCGCACGGAGATAAGCCGAGGCCTCGCGTCGCCAAAAGAATCCCCCCAGCCAACGCTTGTTTCGGCGTGACATGGGAGGGAACCCAAAAACACTCGGCAGCAAGTGCTCGCAGAACAACAGAAGGTTGTTTGTGCCCCCTCCCATGTGGAAGATATGCGTATCGAAGCAAAGTGCCTTGCAGTTGGCTTCCGCGTGGAAGATATGCACACCGAAGCAAAAATCTTGCAGTCATCGCCCTCGCACAACACCCAGAACCTATTGGCCAACCCTGGCTGGCCCAAACGTGGAGGCGCCATTTGGCAGGTGAGACACCTCGGCCACGCACAACTCGAGGCCAGGATGCCGGCCACCGGCCGGATAGTGGCTGCATCAGCGAACGGTGACTCGTGTGCGAACCCTTGCCCACCCCCCGAATGGTCCATTGTGGAGCAAGAATCTTTCTGGACACGCTGGTAAAATCAAGTACTGCAAGGTACTGAGCCCTACACAGTTTTCCAGAATGCTCCACACAACGAGCCAGGGCTGCATGTCCCCGCGCAGATCGCCTCTGCTGGGGCCCACGCTGGCGCAACACGCGGTGTCATCGACTTCTGCAGTCATCTGTCTTGTGCCACCCGCCTGTGAGGGGAGCTGGCGGGCGACAAAGCGCCCGGGACTCCAATCTGCACTTGCGGGTGCATTCAGTCTTTGCTGTTGGCCGCCCGGCTGGCCCGTTTTCGCAACATAGCCTCTCCAGACGGCCGTTGCAGCTCAGAACTTGAACGCTTTGCTAATGACAGACATGCTCCTGCGCCTGCGCCCGCAGTCGCAACTGTCAATGGCGTCTCAAGAATTGAGGACAACATGCCGCGTTACGGGCCAACAGCCACCACATTGACCTTATCAGCGGAAGAAGAAGGGATGTTCACGGAAAAGACTGGGGGCCAATATACTTTCCGCACCCACCTTCTCGACACCTTGCTCTGAAACCATCGATCTTTCCAGATGCCCTGCAGCGAGATCCTCTTGTCGGGGTCGGGCGCCAGCATCTGCTCCAGCAGGTGCAGGCAGTCCTGCCCGATGGGCACGTCCTTAGTCCTGGGGGTGGTGGGGACCCTGGAGCTCGCGGTGCTGCCCGGCGTCCCTGGAGCCTTGGAACTGGCAGAGCTCCTTGGGGTGCAAGGGAACTTCAGGCCGCCGACCCTGCTGCTTGGCTGCGGTGGCAGCCTCTGCCTCTGAAACCTTGGCAGCTCGATGGCGATGTTCCCCAAGTCGAGGCCGAACCCTGAGCTCCTCTTCAGGACACCCTGCAAACCAATGAACGAAAATTCTTGAAAAGGGAATGAATAGAAATCTTGCAAGTTGAATGAATGAAAATCTTGAATGCGAATCCACAGGCAACGTGAAAATCGGCGCACTGGTCATGCCACGTGTCTCTGCTGCTGTCAGACAGACCAACAGCGTCCCTCCGCTGGCGGTCTACAAGGAACTCACAATGATTGGCGGAAAGCCCAACCCGCCCTGGGACAGGACACCTGTGGGCGCAAGCGCACAGCCACTTTGACGATAATAAGCCGTGCATGGCAGAAGCCGCTGCCGTTTCGCTTGCTGGGCGGTATCGGACGATGCATTTCTTCACCCTTTGAATTGCTTTTAAGTCTCTGCAGGTGCGGCACAAAAACAAGAGCAAAAGGAACTCTGATGTCCGAACGGGAAACGAAGGCCAATTGAAGAAGTGGCTACTGTCCCATGAGCAATAATGTGCTTGCACATAATTGCTCATGGGACAGTAGCCAATGCGTTTTGGAGATTTCTAGAAATATGCGCACTGAAAAACATTTGCTGGTCAGAGTTCTGCACTCTGGCGAAGTTTGCCTAGCATTAAACAGGATTGTTGTCAGGAGAACCCGCAGGGTCCGACCCACGCAAATCAATGTCCATAATTCTTATTGTCCATTTTTAATTTCCATAAAATTGGGGATACATTTTCAAGCACATCGTTTAAACACTCAAACGCGACGCAGTGTTCTGAAGTCAAAAAAAAGGACTCTGTGTACTGACTTCGTGCACATGGATGTATATGCACATGCGTAAATGCGTGTATCCGTACATACGTATATACGCATCCACATAACCAGTGGTACACAAGTACGCCATATTTATTGCTGCTTATCGGACCAGCAAGCGAAAAGGCGTGCACCGACGGCAGCGCACAAAGCGCGCCCAGCACGTCACCGCGGCTCACAAAGCCAGCGCACCTTTGGGTAGAAGCCGTACAGCATGATGAACAAGACCGCGCCGCAGGAGTAGATGTCCGCCTTCTTGCCGTCGTAGCGCTGGTACTTAGCGTTGCGCAGCAGGATCTCCGGCGCGAAGTAGTTGGGAGATCCCACGCAGGAGACGGTGGGCCCGAACTGGGGTCCCCGGGTGCGGGCGAAGCCGAAGTCGCAGAGGTAGATCGAGGGCCACTGCTTCTTGGAGTCGGCCAGGATGATGTTCTCGAGCTTGATGTCACGGTGCATGGAGTTCATATCCTGGTGGATGTACCGCACGGCGTCCATGAGCTGGCGGAAGATCCAGCGGGCCTTGGCCTCGGGAAACGGCCTGTTTAGGAATCAATGAATGTGCGCATCGGAAAGGAGGCGAGACTGTGAGGGCAGCGGCTCCCTGCCACAACCCCAAGAGATTCATACAAAACAGGAGGGGCCTGCAACAATCCAGTTGAGTGCGTTTGCCAAACCCTGACAGAACGCAGCCCCTGTACTTCGTAGGGACGGTGGGCATGATTCCATCCGTTTCAGGATGTTTGGTACTCGAACGATCGCCAGAAAGTGCCGAGAGGTAACAAACAGGAATGGCTTGTTGCTGGGAATGAAGCACCAGGCGATTAAGCTGGTGATTGTGGTGGCAAAGCACTCCACACGTGCCATGTTTACACAAACGCTTGAGTTGTTGCAAGTCATGCAGTTCAGTGCACTCAGGCCTTGTTGTGGAAGAAGGAAATGTTCCCTATCGGAATGTGTCCACACACAAAGCGTCACTTGTAGCCATTATGATGCAACACTCTTGACGTGAGGAACAAAATGCACATCTCAGACAGGTAGAATGCTTCACAGCACTTGCCTTGATGATGCCATACTTGTTGTGCCAACCCTGACGTGTGTACTCAGAGGACTTCCATAAGCAGCCTTTCAAGGGAGAAGAGGGGGAGGAACTGTTTTTGATCATGGCTCTATTTCTCCCTTGGCATGCCTGCCCTTGGGGTGTCTTTTCCAAGAGGTCTTGGTGCTTTTTTCAGGGACGCTTTGAAAACCAACCCTCGGCAGGCTAAACGCACAGAGAAGACATGAGTCCCCCAGTGGTTGCCAGATTCGTTTACTTTGAGGGAGTGATGTACCCTCATAGCGCCACAGGAGACACTCAGTCCCTGCAGGAGGGAAAAGTGGGGGCTGTGTTGCAATGCTGTGAACTGCATGACTAGGGGGCCACTGTGGGCCTCCTTCTTTAATGAGGCTTGTTGCGTTCATGTCTTTCTTCTCAGCGGTTTGTGGAAGGGCACAAACAAGGTCTTGCATGTACCAATGTCAATTCATTTATGGAAGGGCAAGGTCTTGCACATATCAACGTCAAGCGCTGAAGAATTTTACCAGAGAGCCACCATAGTGTGCCAGTTTGCTGATGCCGCAATTCCCAAAGGGATTGCAGACAACCTCAAAGAACCTACAAGAGTTCGCTTGCCAAAAGCAGTCGGAAATGCCTCTGCGCATCTCGACCCGCTTCCTTGGGTAAGGTCAGTCCCTTCTCCAGATTTCCATTTTCTGTTCCTTGGGAACGACGAGGGCCCAGGCTGGTTTACGTTCTCCAACTGCAACTGCAAGTACTGCGAGTGCGATCGCGGCCCCCAATTCCGAGCGATGCAAACCCCACGGACCTCGATTGAAAGTCTTGCGTCCTGCAAACTCCACAACCAACCTGTTGACTCAGGCATGCGAAGCGGGAGAATGGGTTTCTAGGTCCATGGTTGTGAGGCCCTTGTATCCCCTTGTGTTCCCCAACCCGCCTTCGGCACCGCTGTACAGCACCGACACGCGATATGACACCCGCGCCTCACCGCGTCGGGCGCAAGAGACCGCAATCGGCACGTTCCACAAGAGCAGTCCCAGACGGCGCATTGGCACAGCTCAGTGACGCGCTCGCGGCCGTCCTCGGACCCCGCACACATCTCTGCCCAGTCTGGACAGCGGTTCAGTTTCAGGACTCTGCCCGCGTCGGCAGCCGCTGCGAACGTCGTTCTGTCGTTCTTTCGTGGTATTGGACGACTGCGGTGAATTGCGAGCCCGTGCGCGAGCCGCAGGCTGATGCATGGCTCCAAGGGGACCCCCGTCGCGCCAGAGCCCCGCTTTCAGCGTCCCGAACGCTCGCGGGCACCGTCGCAGCGGCACGCCACCCGCCCCCGACCCAAGGCGCTCCCAATACTACACACACTGACTGTACGGCAATACCACACGTCCCTGCGCGCCTCCGCAGGAGCGGCCGTCCGGTCTCGACACGATGTCGGATGCTCCCATCCCAGCGAAGTGCGGCGCGCGCCTGGGACTCGCATCAACGCAGCGTGCAGCATCGGCTCCCATTCCCCGCCCCCCAGCAGGCCATAATAACTTTCCGACCCGTCTGAGCAGCGTAAGCAACGGCGCTTCTACTCCCCCCACCCCACCCCGCGCCGATCGCGCACCCACCCACCCGCAGCACCACATGAACAGATCTTAATCACGGCTTTCGACCTGTGATGCCCCATTCCGACCCGAGGGCACCTTGCGCAGCCCCCCATAGCCTCGCCACTCGCCCATCGCACCCCATGTGCGCACGCCATTCAACTATGCGCGCTCCCGCCTGTAACTCACCCCTCCTTGTTCAGCATGTCGAACAGCCGCCCCCCTCCCACGTAGTCCATCACCACGCCGATGTGGTGGGCCGTGCTGAAGCACCGGCGCACGGGCACAATGTGCGGGTGCCGCACCGCGCCGTGGATCAGCAGCTCCCGCGACATCGCCTCCACCTGCACCTTGCCCGGCGCGGCCATCAATTTGATGGCCACCTTGGCCTTCTCCGGGTCCCTCACAGTGACGTCCCTCGCTAGGATTACCACTCCGTAGGTCCCAGAGCCGATCGTCTCGATGTACTCGTACTGCTCGGGCAGGTCCGGCAGCGGCATTCCCCGCCTGGAGCGGGGGATCCGGCAACAAGCCATGTTTACCCTTTTGCGTGTTTCCGCAAAGCGCAGGGGGCCGTTTGGGTCCTTCCCAGTCGCGGTCTGTGGCCTGGGAGGCGTAAGGGGCCAAGGGCTTGGGGTTTGCCACCCTCGAGCGAGGAAATTTGTAGCAGTGGTTGCGTGGAGGCCGAGGATCTCGCGCCAGTACTTGGTGCGGTACTCCGCCGCGATGCGCGGACTCAAGGGCGAGCGGAGCAGCTGGGCGAAGAAGCTGCGCGGAAGGGCGAGCTTCGACGGTAGTCGAATGGCCCGACGGCGGGGGTGGGCTGGAACCAGGGGACCAATGGAATGCCGTCTTCGGGGAATAGTAAGATGCCGTTCACCTGTCGAAGTTCCCCCCGCCGACCGCCATGTGGGTCGTAGGGTATCTGCTCGTTTGCGCCCGCGCTCGGTGCAGCAATCGCGGTGTGGTGGTAACATAACACATGACGGGAGTTTCGGTGTGTTGTTGCAGGTACGGAGTCCGCTGATTAGCGGACTAACGTCATAACGTTGCTGGGGAAGTGAGTAACGGACTCGCGGGCCACGAGCGCGATTGAAAAGCGCGATGCTTCCGCATCAAACCGCGGCGTCGGGCGCACTACAGCGGACTGGGGCAAACCTCATGCGCGCCTCAGAGCAAGGCAACGACGGTGAGACGATAGATGCAGGCGCAGTTTCTCTCCCAAGGGGGGGGAATGTGCGGCGTGCCATACAGCGCACATGACGTTGGCTTTGATGCGGGGCTACGCTCAGCGCCCCTTAAAGGTGGTTCGGAGCTGTGACTGTGCGAGACCACCCAAACGCGAAGCACAGTGCATAACTAATGCAACAATGCCATGGGACCTACGTCCCCCTACCGCACAGAGCAGTTTGCGTAGACTTCATTTATAGTTGCTGGGGAAGAATGGCGGCAACGGCTCTGCGGAAGTGTCTGCGCATTGGTAAGCCATGGCGACATGACAGGAGGCTGCTGCGGTTGTGTAGTCCACGGAATCAAGGAGGGTTTTTGGTGTACAAATGCAGCTGCTGGGGACACTGCCCTTTGATGCTGCAAGAGCTTGTGTTTCTCCGGCGCCCAAGGCCATTGTGCCTTTGCTGACAGCAATTCTGACAAAAGCCACCCTCAAGTGCGTCTTGGGAGAGTAGACAGCTGCACAGATGCTTGGAGTGACCGTTGTTTGACGATTGGATGTCACGATGTTCACAGGGAAGCATACGTAGAGCTACAGTACTGTAAAGCTAGTTTCTAGGATGGACGACTTTGTAGCGGTGTTCGTCCTAGGTAAACAGAACGTCTGAAATGCCCCAATGGCAAGCGATGGAGGGTGCGTGAGTGGAAAGGAAGAATACTAGAAGATCGCACGCCATTTGGTTGTTTGGCTCCAAAATTAGTACCGCCAACCAGTTGTGCCGCTACAAATATTTGGAAGAGGGCAGTAGAAAGGATTGAGCTCCCTGCGCCGTCAGCGTCCATATGGGCGCATGCATGCATAGAGCCCTAGACATTTAAGATGATGGCCATAACTAGCTATTGGCCAGTGTCGATAGCTGGAGAGCTGGACGAGCGGGAGAAGCTGGGGACCTGGACTTTACTGGAAAGCTGATGCACTTACAGCTAGTGGTGTGCCGCGCATGTGGAGTCCTATGCGCCAAAGTGGAGGGAGCGACGATGTGCACAATGGAGCGGCGATCAGGTTGGCGGGCATTGGCCCTCCAAGGGGTGAATGGCGTACGCTACATTACATTTGGGTACAGATTGGCGAGGCCACCGAGTAGGATGTTTGTAGAGGAAAGGATCAGATATGCTAGGAGCTGCCCGGCTGCGGTTGCCCTTTATAATATATGGTGTCATGGACTTGGCCGGCACAGCGAATTTTGCTTGGACCTGAGGTACAAATCTGGTGATCACCTATCCAGGTAAATGGATAGCACTAGTAGAAAACAGCGAGCTTGCGTTCCTATTTTGACGCAAATTTATGCATCACAGCCACTTTTTATGCCATCGCAATCACTGTGATAGCATCATTTTGTGTCAAAATGGCATCGCAGTTGGCATCGCAGACATGGCGTTTTCTACCAGTGTAGGTGGGGGACCAGAGCGGTCTCGCGTCCCCCAACCCCCCCGATTCACTGGTTCTGCATCCTCTCATGAAAGCAGCAGATTTGGGTTGCCATGGCGACTGCACGAAAGCACTGAGGGCATCAAAGAGACTTTCGCAGCACCTCACTCTGCTACCACTCAGGCACAAATACATCGTTCATTTGTGTCTATATAATAGCGGTGTGCACAACTGCGACTCACACCGCACATTTTAAGGGCTTTCTTCCTGGTTTTCGATCCAGGTTTCACTTTCTGGAGGCCGAGTGGCAGCGACACCAGCCACGCAAAATCCATTATGGAATATTGGAGCCGATTGTATCCATATACCACTCAGCTGTTGGGACGCATTTTCTCTTTTAATGCCATGGCTGCGATTGTGTAGGCCGAACCAACTCAATTTTTCGGACGTAGCCATGTCAGAAACACATTTTGCTCTGTGCTTATTTGAGGGAATATTTTTAATGACATTTTTCATCGGCCAGCACGTTTGCAGGTAGTTAGGGGTTGGTAAATTCTGGATTTCTCCTGTGCAATGCCTATAATTTCAGTCACGAACACTGCCTTTCTTGGGCGTAGTTGCGACTTGACGGCTACCTCCTTGCCCAGTTGTGTAATACTTCTAAATGATTCAGTTGACTGTTAATTGACCTTCATGGTGAATGGGCCTTTACGTGAATGACGGTGGTGACGGAGCAGGGATGGAAAGCGTTAGCTGGATGGGAAGTCAATTCCGTTAGCGTTATGTTCGCAACACCGCATAATGACCACCGTTTCACTGGGTGGGTCACTTATGCATTATGGTGTGCGACTTGTACATATTTGCACTTTACCACTGAGTGTATGGGCAACTTTGACATATGTTTTGTAAAGTAGGCTGCATTGCAGCGATACGTAGGTATATCTGAAGTGTTATATGGCTGGTTGGTGATGGATGATGGTCCTTGTCACGTGAAAAGGAAAGTTCTGTGGGTGCAAGGAGATTCGAACTGTTCGGTTGCGGGGGTCGTTGCCACCGTCGGCAAGGCGCTTCGTTGTGGGAAGGGTGAACAAATATGTAAGCCCTGGGCGTGTTGTGTGTGGTGGGACCTTGCGTCTGGCCGTGTGCCAAGGCCGTTGAAGCATTGGCGATCGTGGATTCGCGCTTCCCGTGTGCACTCCAAAGGGAGCCGTTTGAATCGCATCAACGGCATTTCCTTCAAGAGTTATGTAAAAGGAAATGAAGGAAGTGGTCCTCTCCAAGATTTCGTGGCAGGGTGGGGTCCGCGGAGCATTTGGTGCGCCACGGTCCGCTGGGGTGCAGGGTGAACGGCGGGCGTTCTGAGGAAACCCTGTCATTTTCCCTTCTGTAGATTTTCACGATGATGCGGAACCTTTCAGGCGTGAAGGGCCCAAGGGTCCACCAACAGCTGGAAACGACCAGCGTCGTGATTGGATTCCGTGGGACCTTTCGAGGGCGCTGGACCTTGGCATCTCCCAACTTGGATGTTGACGCCCTCCCTGCAGTTCCAGCACCGCTGGAAGGGGACCTAAGTCCCGACGCCACGAGGCGGCAACGGAGCCAGGGAGAGGCCGGGGGGTCGTGCGCTGTGGTGTTCTGACCGCCCTGCCGTGTCGATCGATCATCTCCGGATGATACGATCCGACTGTGGAGAAGGGTGGGTGTCGACGCCGACGATTCGCGTCCGCGCGGGCATCCTCTGCGGCCAACCCACGTGCCAGTCGGCTCGGATCCGCGCCTGCCCTGAGAAGGGGACTGACGGCAATTGGGCGAAGCGCCGGGGCTGTGGTTTAGTTGGCGCTGGACCAACTGCCGTAGGGGCTGCGCACCACCTTCCGGGAAAGGGAGGTGCCGGGACTCCATCACCACTTCCGACGGCATCCGTCCGGCCACGCTGTCGGCGTTTTATTGGAAATCCAGGGTTTCCTTCTTATGGCTCGTGTTGCTTAATCTCGTTCCTTCCTCGCTCTGGAGTCACCTTAGACCGCAATATGATCTTGTACCGCCTGGCGTTCGCACGAGTCCTATTCGGCCGGGGTCTCTCTCCGGCAGCCAGCTCTCTCCCGAACTGTTGTGTCTTGGGGTTGTAGTAGTGACGTGCAGTATCTTCCCTCCTGCCAAGCAATGGTTCGCTGTGCAAATCTGTTCGCTGCATTTGTCTGCCTACACTGAGAAAATCCCATCTTGTACAGCAAACGTCATGTTGTGCGAATCCATGCATTGCATTTGGCGACATTGAGAAATCCAGCCAGCTGTAGAGTGTTGAAGGCTGTTTGCTGTTGGTTGTTGGCTGTGAAGATGGTTTTAGGTGCAAAAGGATTGGTGTGTTGGTGGCAGGGAGTGGTGTGAACCTTACAGTTGTTTGTACCAAGTTCGAAAACAGAAATCTTGCAGTGCATATGCGTGTTTGCCAAAATCATGGTGCTGTGGTCCCACCAGGCTATCAACGCTTTGCAGGTGAGCAGCTCAACGTATTCCTTCGCAGCAACTCTGTGTTCAAGGAGGTGGGATGGCCACAGCAGATGGACGCCAGGTTGGGGAACATGAAGAGGTCAGCCCTGCAGCGCTATGCAGGCTGATGGCCGCGACCGCAGGTCAAGTGCTTATGTGGAAGAAAACAGAAAAGACAGTCGGTTGCTGGGAGCCTGTCTGTCTGTTGGTCCGTGTCGATTTGTGGCATATCGCTGCACAGCCAGGCCAGGAGTGCCCTGCGAATGCGGCCGCTTGGCGGAAGGGGGATCGCATTGAATTGGTGAGGGGCAAGACTGTGGTGGGACAAATCCAAGGGAAGGCCGAGTGGTTTGTAGAACTTGAGGGAGACTACCACAGGTTCAAAGGCGAGTCGCCTGCTGTGGCAGCATGCTGGGTGGCTACCTTGAAGCAGAGGGTGTTTTCATGGCACAAACTCCTGCAGGATCGAACAGCAGGGGGGCAGGAACTGCTGGTGAACATCAGTGAACGTGAGAAGATGATGGGACCCATCCATCTTGATCAGTTGGAGACTGCTCAGGAGATGGTAAATGTGTTGGGCAAAGTTGCCTCCTTCACCAAAGAGGTGTTCCACTTTCTGCCCATTGCTGGACCTGCTCTATCACTGTTGGGATTTGCAATGGAGGTGGTACATCGATATCTAGCTGACACTGAAAAGCTTCGCCCAGCAAAGTCAATGTTGGAGGAAGTCGCAAAGTTGACGATAGGGACAATGCGCAGAGCACTGGAGATCAAAAACGCAGAATATGAGCAGGGGATTCTGGAAGTGCTGGAGATGATTGAACGTGCAGCCCGAATGCTTGAGAGTCATGAACACAGGTCGATGGGAAGGAGGATACAGCAGGCTGTGTTGAAAACGATTGAAGGGCCATCGGTTGCTCTGGATTTGCTGAAACAGTGCCAAGACCGCCTCAACAGCCTCAAGATCGACAATATCGAAAAGCTTGAGATGTCAGGTAAGTTGACTTTGCTCTGTTCAACAATTGTCCAAATCTGCAAGGTCATGGTGGATTGTCAGGGAAAGAAAGCATTTTCCAGCAACTGAGCCAATCTTGTGGCACCAGCTGATGCAGTGTTCTGCAGCAAGCCTTGTATCAAGATATGCTTGCTCTGAATGAGCAAAGTTGTGCTTGAGAATGTCATGCACATTTGCATGATCTGGATCCAGTGGGGATGTTGGTATACTGTGCTCAAGCTTGTTCATCACTAGCTAAGAGAAAGCCACGAAGTGTGGATTAGCATTGGCACTTCTCCCCAGTTTCCCATGTTCTAGCTCTTTGGATGCCATTCTGTGGGTGAGTCTGGTGCGCGTGAACTTGCAAAGTTTGCCCTGTTTTACTGTCGCTCATGCTTTCTCACTGCAAATCTGTGATGGTTTTTTTGAACAGCTGTTGTCACAATTGTTTCTACCCACAATTGAAACCCCATTCCCAGGTACACTGACTATCAGGAGACAATATCCCTGATTTTGCAAAAGACAGGACAACAGGCTGCCCATGAGTACGATCCATTCTTGGTTGCCTTCGTAATGGCTACCTTATTGTGTACTTCCTCTGTCTCAAATTAAATGAAACAATTTGTTGTGAGGCTGAATTTGTATCGAGCACGCATTTGTTTTTCCTGAAAATGCAACCACAGCAGCTAATGTACATGTAGTAGTTGCTGGCAAAAAATCAGAGGAAATGATTAAGTACATTGCATTTGGCATTGCATTGAACTTGCGCTACTCCAGTCCCGAATTTGGTCCCTCCTAGGGCATCCCCCGCCCGCCAAAAAATAGGTTCCAACACACAAGTGCAGCCCCTCTTTCTCGACTTCAGGACACTGGAAGGGTAGAGCGGCTAACCTCGCTCAGGCTCTAGCGCAACGATCGGCACCCATCGAGATGGATAAGCGGCAGAGATGGCGCATGGCCGCCCATCTCGCTAATGCGGATTGGCAGAAATCCCCGCCACCGTCCACGGCGACGCAGGGACATATCTGGGATCTGCCGTTGCCAACAGACCTCCTGATATCTAAAGACTAGCGGCGGAACCGCTGCGTGCACCGAACGCTCTCGGTTTATCGCCGATCTCCAATTAATGGTGTGTTTGGCGATGGGAACACCTACAGAAAAAAAAGGGGCATCCCTCCCACCAAACACGACCGATGGAGAGTGTGGATGCTCCATCGGAGACCCCAGGTGGTGGATAATGGTTCTGTTGTGTTCCGCAAGGACGGCGTCCAAAATTTCTCACAGCAGCGTCTTTCAAAGCGGTTTGAACGGCACTCACAGTGCTCCTTGTAGCCTGTGCCAGGCGCAGCCACTTCCAGCGATCTTTTCGCTCCTGTGCAGCGAATTGACAATCGCATCTCTCCAAATTTTTGGTGGTGACGTAAACACTTGCGGCCATATCACCCATGGTGGTAGCACCTTTCGGAAACGCCGTGGTTGTGAAGTTCACCGATTTCTCGGTTTCCGAGCCAAATCTGAAACGCTGAATGGGCTGTCGAATCCACGGTCGCGATCGACGATCAAGCCTTACGGAACTCGGTTTCGCGGCCTCCGAGCTTCGAGAGGAACGCCTCCGACCTGCAGCCACAGCCGCGGCCACAGATATCCAGCATGCGCTGTGCACTGGCAGTCGCAAAGAAGAATATGTTACTCCCCGTTCTTGGTTGCTGAGATTCGGTTCTTGTTCCGCTGACAAGGCCACTCCCGGTGCGTGGATGAGTAGTTGGGGTTTAGGGTGTCCGAAAACAAGCACCGAATCTCAGCAAACAAGAAAGGGGAGTAATTTTATGCCGTCGCAAAGCGACCTGGTCGAGGGGTCGCTTTTTTGGGGGGTCGCCAGAGTGAGGGAATTGGGGGTTTCCGAAAAAATCCTGTGGGTTCAAAGTACAACCATTTGACCATTACTTATCCGTTCTTCACAAAAATTTGGCAGGGTGTACCAACGTGACTTGTGGAGGTCTGATAAAATTTTCGAGCAAAACTGCTGAGAGGTTCATGAAAATGTGGCCATGCGAACAGATTGTTTCATTTAATTTGAGACAAAGGAAGTATAAGAAATTCATGTACATGATCCTGGTAGCCAGGTACAGTCACAGGTGGACATCACTCATCGCTTGCATTCGATTGTACCTTAAGCAGCCAAGGGGACAATGTGCTTGATCTGCTTGCAGCTTGGCTGCCATGTACATTCTCTAAGAAAACGCTGGATTGCTAGCATTTCATCAATTGGATCTATTGCGGTCATGTTTGGGGCTCCTCTTCTGCTAGTTGTTCTCTTCATTCATTCCACTGTGTGCACTAAAAGGGGATTTAGGCAGAACAATGCGTGGGTCCCTTGATTGTGTATTTGACATTGGAACTCACAATTGGTTCTTTGTGTGCTTTGTTACTTTCTGCCATTCTGGTAAAGTCTGATCCTTACCTTTGGTGCACAGGGCTCGAAGCTCAGCGTGAGCTGCTGGCAAATCAACGGACAATTCTCACTCAACAGAGTTTTACGCGAAAGAAACATTGCTTGCCCTCCCATATCCCCACTGCACCAGATGCAATTTCATTGGACAGCCAGCTGTGTGTAGTCAAAAACATGTTGTTGCAGGGTGATGCCAATTATGTGGTCATTTGGGGTATGGGGGGGATTGGGAAGACCACTCTTGCAAGGGCTCTTGTGAGTGATCTGGTGGTTCAAAATGAGTTCGCGAAGCAAGCTTTTGTGACTGTATCACAAAACCCCAACATAGTGCAATGTCAAAAACAGATTTGGGATGCCCTTGTGGGCACTGAGCACACTGTGCTATTCACCAATGCCGAAAATGGCAGGTTGCGATTGCAGGCGGCATTGAAGGATGAGGTTGTATTAATTGTCCTTGATGATTTGTGGGATGAAGCTGATATTCCACACTTTGATGTTGTGTCTGCAAAGAGTCGAGTCATGATCACATCACGAAATGAAGAAGTTGCTATAGGTGTGGGGGCGAGGTGCTATGCCGTTGCTACACTTGGTGAGACCGAGTCCATGGAGCTTTTCTGCAAGCATGCATTTATGAGCGGGCAGCGTTTGAAATGGCGAGCACCATATGTGAAGGAAATTGTGCAGGAGTGTGGGGGTCTCCCTCTTGCATTGAAGGTCATGGGGTCAGAAGCAAAAGGCTTCAACAAGGGAGAAAAGGGGCCTTCTGGCCCCACACCATCAGAAAAGAAAAAGTGGAGAAGGGCAGTCGAGGGCATAAAATCAGATGGAGTGGTGTCCGAGGGAGTGTTTGATAGAGTTTTCACTATGAGCTTCGATTCTCTTGAAGATCGACATCGAGCGGTGTTGCTTGATTTGGCAATGCTGCCCGAAGACCACGAAGCAAGAGAGAGTGATGTGGTCGATCTGCAAGCTTGCGCTGACTTGAACGCCAATGAAGTGTACGATGTGTTGGAGGTGTTAGCTCAAAAATCGTTGATCATACGCACAGGAAAGTATGAATTGGATGTGTTTGAGTTCCAGTCTGCTGGGTTGGTGACGTGCCGCCTACACGATGTGGTCCGTGACAGTGCATTGAAGTTGATTGCTGACCAGCCTATTGCTCAGCGTGACCGGCTAGTGTCTTCACATCTGAAGAAACTCGCCCTCAATGCCCAGATTTTGAATGCAACCAAGTTCTCTGGAACACACAACATTGACGAGGACCGACAATTCGATTTAAGTGAGCTGCATATGCCCCCAAGTTGCAAACCCTCATGCTAAGGAACACAAAGGTGTTGGAGTTGCCTGCATCCCTGCTGACTGCAAGCCTGGTGGTCATCGACTTGACAGCTTCAGAGATTGTCAGCCTACCTGTGCAGGTGGCATACCTTCAATCTGCAAGGGTGTTGCGGCTGGATGACTGCAAAGATTTGTCATGCCTGCCAAATGAATTGGGCGATATGGAACAGCTTACTGTGCTGTCCATTCGGAGATGCCAGCGCATCTGTGAACTGCCAAAGTCCATAGGGAGGCTGTCGAATGTAACAAAGCTACTTATGCCCAGTTGTGGATTTGCGCGCTTCTTGCCAATGGATGAGGGTGCTTTGCAGAGTTTGACCATGTTGGATCTGAGCAGATGCTTTGGCTTGAAATTCTTGCCTTCCACTTTGGGGGAGCTGACCAGTTTGACGGCATTGGATTTGGATGGTTGCTGGCAGCTGACGTCACTGCCATTTTCCATTGGGCAGTTGGGACAGTTGGAGGTGCTGCTCTTGCATGGATGCGAAAATCTTGTGGAATTGCCCTGTGTAGTGACCCTCCTTGGCAAGTTGGCAGAGCTGGATGTCCAAGGATGTACCAAGCTGAGGTCCCTGCCTCAAGGTCTTGCAGATGGGTGCCCTGAGCTCAGAGTGTTGCGCCTTCAGAGGATTTCACAGATGATTTTCCCAGAGATTGTTGTGGACTTGCAACTATTGGAGGTGTTGGGTGTGCACGATGAGTGGAAACTGCCAAGTAGTGTCAGTGAAAAATTGCTTGACCATGAGATGCCCTTGGAGCTGTTGGAGCAGAAGCCAACAGAGGAGTACGCTTCCAAGGAGTGCTTGGTGGGTGGCGTAGATCTGTCAGCATCATTGCAGCTGTTCTTTGGAGGTGTTGTAGCTATTGTGCCCCTGCTTGTCTGGGTAAAATTTATGTTGCACTTTTGGAGCAGTTGGCATAAAGAATCACTGTTCTAGATGCAAGTACTAAACTGTAAGTGTATGCACAAGCTTCACATGTACAATATCATCACAGGATACATGCACAGGATCAACAGATGTGAGTTTGGTTTTGCAGGAAAGGGATACACCTCTCCACTGGGCTGCAGCATTGGGACTGACTGAAATGGTGAAATTTCATCTGAGAGAAACCAGCGCGGACGTTCAGAGCAGTGTAGGTTGTTGGGAAGGACTTGAAAGTTGCTGTGATGCCCCCCTTATGTCATTAGCATTGATGCGCCTCTGAAGTTGGCCTCGGCTGAGCTTCAATTTGGTCTTGATCGCGACTCTCTCTGTACTGCATTTTGATAGAGGTGTCATCTGTGAAGTGTGCCACAGTTGGGATGCTCAGTTTGGATGCTCCCATCCTTTGAAACAAGGCTTGAAACACATGCCTCTACTATGATGCACCTGTTTTCACTTGCTACTCAGATCAGCTTCAATGAAAACAATCCTTAGATTGGAATTGAGTCCAGGTGCATTGGTAAGATACAACACACTGCAGGTGCCGATGCATAGCACTCGCCAGGGCATCTATAATCTCCAGAGCATGTGTGCATCATCCAGCCATATTGAGGGACTCTTGTCCGGGTCTGTCGCACAGCCTACAAAGGGCTGCATCCAAGAAATTATTCAGCCCACAGCAAGACCTGCAGAATCAACTTAAGAATTTGTGTGCTGGCTCTCTGAAGTGGAAGAATGCAAAAGGGGGCCAGGGGGAGGGGAAAGGGGTTGGCAAATGGCCTGCTGAAACGATGTTACTCAATGCCAGTGCACCTGGAAGCCATTGCCTAGCTCACTGACACAACGTACCCTGGCTAGAGTGATTCTGGTCAGTGCACATCCTGGGAACCAACAACCTGCAGTGTCATTCAGTACTGTAGGTAGCATCAAAGTCGTCTCCTTTGCTGTGTTGACCAATGCTTAGAGGTTTGCAGACATTTCTTCAAGTGCAACAAACAGTACACCAGCCGAGAATATGATTGGGGGATGACTAAATGCCAATGTGGGCCTCAGGACAGAACCTATGGTATGAACAATGGTTATTGCATTGATGGATGTAACATAAACTAGTGGACCAGAATGAAAATCGACCACAATTGAGACAAATGTAGCCTGTAGTGTGAATGTTGTTCTAATCACCCATCCTGTATCACAGTATCTTGCTGATTTTGGAGTGCCGCTGGGTGGCACAAAGCAGAAATAGAGTGACAAAGGAGATGCAACTGTATGTGCGGCTGGTGTTTCTTATGCCTTTTTGCCCCACTTTCAGGTGAATGGGCACCCAACAGTGTCTAGCAAGCACCAGAACTGGTGAATTTACTTGTGACACTATGTGGCTGAATATTGAATGAGCTCTAGTGCTTGTGTTGCAACGGGCATTTGTTTATTTTGCTCGCCGCTGGCATTGTTTATTGTGCCTAGATTGTGTTTCAGTCCTCTGTGTTGACACGGGGCAGCCAGTGGGACTGAGTTGTCTTCGCTGATGATGTGGAAATGTGCATTCACTGTACAGTATGGCTATATGCCACTCCATAGAGCAGCACAAGGCGGACACAGAGACACCGCAGAGTTGCTCCTGGATAATCATGCATCTGTCGATCCAAAGGACCAGGTTGGTGAATGCATGGTGTATCTGTGTCGAGCATCCCTGTTTCTGCCCTGGTTTGAATGTACAGATAGCCAACAGAGTGTGTCAAGCAATAAACTATGCATGGATTTATGTGAGCCTGTGCCCAAGCACAGAATGGGTTTCGGCATCCCATGCTGCCAAAGACGTTCTGTGTGTTTTGTTGGTTGCCAGAGTTGTTTGCTGGGCACCTCAATCCTTCTCGTTGATTTGCATGTTCACACATTGCAGTCACAGTGACTGAGTTGTAGTGAATGACAGCCTGGTAATGTGCGTCCACCCTTTCAGGATGGTGATACGCCACTCCATTGGGCAGCGCAGTATGGACACACGGCCACCATGGAATTGCTCCTGGACAGAGATGCATCTGTCGATGCAATGGACCAGGTGGGTTTATGCACAGCTTCCATAAAAGCTATCATAGCCATGGAACCTTGTTCTTGCCTTCTTTGGGATTCATTGGTAGCTCAAAGAGTGTATCAAGCAGGTTTGCTGATTCAATTTTTGCGACACACTCATGGCCATTGAATGGGCTTCAGCAGTTCGTGTTGCTAACATCACTCTGTTTTGTTGACTCTTGGCATTCTTGCAGTGCACCACAGTCTGTTATGTTGTGTTGCATACTTATTTGTGGCTAGCAAAGTAATTGATGACTGAGGTGGTTGTGCTAACAGCCTGGTTGTGTGCATGTGCCTTGAAGGCTGGTGATACACCACTTCACAGCGCGGCACACTTTGGACACATGGCTGCTGCAGAACTGCTCCTGGATAGAGGAGCATCTGTCGATGCTGTGGCCCAGGTTTGTCAACATATAGTGTGAACTTATGGAACATTGTATGTACCTCATTGTTTGAAGAGCACAAGTTACCAACAGAATGTATCAGGCAGGAACCTGGTGAGTTAATTTGGGCCAATTCACCTAGCAGTTGATTGGGACTTCTGTAAACTTTGTTGAGTACTAGTGTTGTCTACCATGCACCACAGTCTTTGTTGTGCAACCTGTTCAGAGCACGTGGGCAGAGTGGCTAAGCTGTCCATGCTGACAGCCTGGGGGGGTGTGCATTCATTTTTCAGGATCTTGGCTACACCCCACTCCATAGTGCTGCACAGGGCGGGCACAGAGCCACTGTGGAGTTGCTCCTTGATAGAGGTGCATCTCTCAATAGGGTGGACGAGGTGGGTAAATGCCTTTTTCTCCTGAAGTCTTGTTCCCACCCCGTTGTCAAAGCTCGTAGATCGCCAGCACAGCGCATCGAGCAATGAAGCTAGTTTTGTCTGTGGCAATGTGCAATTGATGGTGGAAAATTTTTCTGTGGTCCACGTTGACAGAGGCAATGTTTTTGGCTTTTGTTTGCTTGAGTTGTTTGTTGTGGAGAGTAGAACATCCTGTTGTGCTGCATGTCCATGTGGGTGCTTTACTAATGGCCTGGTAATGTGCATGTACATTTCAGTCTGGTGACACGCCGCTCCATGTGGCTGCACAATATGGGCACACAGCTACTGTGGAGCTGCTCCTAGAAAGAGATTCATCCATGAAATTGCCCGGCCAGGTGGGTAAACATACTACCTCTCTTGTCCATGTAACTCTGTTCTTCTTTCTGAAGCACATAGGCAGCCAATGGGCCCTATGAAGCAGCAGAACTTGTTCATCTCTCTTTTGGACAGTAAATTATTGGCCGTTGAAAAAGCTTCTTGGCTTGTATTGCCAGAATCACTCTGCTTCGCTGATTTTGAGCATTGCTTGCTTTGCACCACAGCCCATCTTGCTATTCTGTATGTTGGTATGTCGAGGAAAAAGTGGCTGAGGGGTCTTTTTAATGGTAACCTGGAAATTTGCATTTGTCCTTTAGGATAACGATGCACTGCTCCATTGGGCGGCACAGGGTGGACATTCAGCCACTGTGGAATTACTCATAAGAAGAGGTGCATCTATCGATGTGGTGGACCAGGTAGGTCAACACATGCTTTTTTGCCTCATGCAACCTTGTCTTTGCCCTGTTTTGAAGCGCGCAGGTGGCCAATAGTACTAGCTAGTAGCAAAACTGGCTCATTTGCTTGTGGTACTGTGCGCCTGACCACTGAATGGGCTTCTTGCAGCTTTTCTTTTGCGAAAGGCAGTTTGTGTGTGTGATTTTGCGCATGTGCTGTGTGCAGTGCATCACTTTCATTCTAGCTATGCTGCGTGCTCACACAACGCACACAGATTGTCCCAGATTTCTTAGTTGAGAGCCTGCATTGTGCATTATTCTAGGCTGGCTACACACCACTCCATAGGGCTGCACTTGGTGGGCACACAGCCATTGTGGAGTGGCTCCTAGACAAAGGTGCATCTGCTGATGTGCCAAGCCAGGTGGGCCAATGCTCAGCATTTCCGTCTTGTGGGACCTTCATGTTCGTTTGGTTTAAGTTAGATGAGCTCTCCACATAAAAGTCCTGTTTGCCCAGGTAGGCAACAGATTCATCAAGCAGTGAAGTAGTTCATTTATTTGTGGCCAGGGTGCCCCTGACCATTGAGCGGGCCTACTGAACTTGTGTTGCCAAAGCCATTTGTGTTTTTTCTTTGGTTGGTTGAGAACATTGCATTATGTGCTGCATGTGCACAGGTGTGGCCAGAGTGGCTGATGTCGCTTTGTTGACAGTCCTTCAATGTGCATTTGTCTTTCAGGATGGCTACACCCCACTCAGTAGGGCAGCGCAGGGTGGGCACTCGGCCACAGTAGAGTTGCTCCTGGATAGAGGTGCATCTGTCAAGACAATGAGCCAGGTGGGACAACGCACAATGCATATTGAAAATGCATATTGCGCGAAACCCTGCGCTTTGCCAGTTTTGAAGTGCATGTATAGCCAACAGTGCATCTTGCAGCAAATAAGTTCATTCGTTGTTGCAGCATCTGCCTAAACGTTGATTGGGCTTTGATGGTGCATGTCCAAAAAGATCTTTGTGCATTCTGTTGGCTGCTGCTGCTGTCTACTGTGTTCCACAGTCCCTCTCATTGTGGTGCATATCCCCATGCGGCTGGTACAATTATTGAAGTGCCTTTGACGATGGCCTAGTAAGGTGTATATGTTCCGCAGACTGGCGACACGCTGCTCCATTTAGCAGCACAGGGCGGGCATACAGCCACAGTGGAGGTGCTCCTTGACCGAGGTGCACCTGTGGATGCGCCAAACCAAGTGAGTCACTGCAACACCGGTTTTGTCATGCTGTCTTTTCCTATCCATGTCTTGAAGCTCACAGGTAGCAAACAATATATATCAAGCAGCAGAACAGGCTTACTAGAAGTATTTTTTTGGTGGCAGCATGCACCTGGCCAATTAATGGGCTTTTCCGGCTCATGTTGCTAAACATGTGCCCTGTGTATCTTGTTCACTGATCTCACTGTGTTCTTTCCGCCACAGTTCGTCTTGGTAGTGCTGAAAGCTTCATGTGAAGGGCTACATGACTGAGATTTGGTGCTGACAGCCTGGTAATGTGCACGTGCATTTCAGGGCGGCTACACGCCGCTGCACAGGGCGGCACTGGGCAGACACACGCGCTCTGTTAAGTTGCTCCTGGACAGAGGTGCTTTTGTCAATGCACCGACCCAGGTGGGTCCACACACAACCTTCTATCTCATGTAGCCTTTGTTTCCTTTCCCTGTTTTCAAATGAAGAGGTAGCTAACAAGTCCATCAAACACTGAAACTGGTTCATCATATCGTGGCAGCAAGTGCCTCTCCATTTAATGACCTTCAGTTGCTCAAGTTGGCAAAGGAACTCTGTGTGGATGTTTCGCTGCATTCTGGGATTGTAAAGTGTGAGTTGCGTTGTTGCATTTGCGCGAAGCAAATGACAAACATAGTCCATTCACCTGGAGAGAACAGTGCTCAACACCAGAAGAAAACCAACAGCCTGTCAGATCGAGAAATGATATAGAAAAGGACCTGATCTGGGTATCTCCCAAGAGCAACACCTCAAGGTACGGGCACCCCAGAATGGAAAACTTGGCCGAAGTGCTCTCTGCATTACTGACGCTTTGTGCCTCTTCTGTTCTTTGGGGGTGGGTGGGGAATGCTTGTATGCACCATATGCCGTATTGCTGTGCTGCAAGTCCAAGCATTGCGGCCAATTCGCTGAGTTGTCTTGATTGAAGCTTGCAAATGTGCATTAACACTTCAGAATGGCGACACGTTGCTCCACTGGGCAGCACAGATCGGACACACAGGCGCTGCGAAGCTGGTCCTGGACAGAGGTGCATCTGTCGATGTGGTGAACAATGTGGGTAAACACACTGCCTTCTTCCTCATTCGCCTTCCTGTTGCCCTGAGAAGCGACAAGTGCATTTGTAGCCCAAAGAGTGTATGAAGCAACAAAACTAGCAAATGAACTGGTGGCATAGTTGTGGCCATTGAATAGGCTTGTACGGCGCTCATTGCTATAGACAGCCTTTGTGCTTGGTATATCTCTGGTTGTGTTTATTGTGCCACATGATATAGCTTTGCTTTTGCACAGGTGGGCAGAGTTACACGCAGTGTACTTCATGACAGTATAGTATTGTGCTTATGCTTTCCAGGATGGCTGCATGCCACTCCACTGCGCAACACAGGGTGGGCACACAGCCGTTGTGCAGCTGTTGCTAGATAGAGGTGCTTCTGCAAATGCGCCAACACAGGTGCGTCGCTATAGACAGCCACCACAGATTTTCGACAGTTGTTGCCCTTGTTTGATTGCATAGGTGGCCAACAGAGTTTTTGAATCAGCAAAACTGATGGATGTAGTTTCTGGAGCAAATCCATTACCGTTTAATGTGCTTCTGCAGCTCGTGTGCCCAAATCTGCTCTTCATATTCACTGATGGCCGACCAGTTTTACTGTGCATCACTGTCTGTCTTGTGATGCTGCGTATTCGAGTGGAGTATGCTCAGGCTCGTTTACTCACAGCCTGGCAAATTGTGTTTGCATTTCAGCAGGGATGCACACCACTCCATTGGGCGGTACAGGGGAGACACACAGCCATAATGGAGGTACTCCTAGACCGGGGTGCATCTGTCGATGCAGTAGACCAGGTGCGTCAGTGCGCGGTTTTGATTCTCATTCATCTAAGACTGAATGAGAAAAAAGAAGACATCTTTCCGCCATGTCATGCAGGCTTGTTGTCTACATTGTAAAATCTGTGTATTCATGCATGTTTATGCGTAAAGTTCTTTTACGCTTTTCTGTGGGTAAAACTGCATATAGATGGCCCTTGTGTACATACAACCAGTTTTAACAGACTCACAGAGCCGTGGGGTGGCAGCCAAGCCTGCAGAGCATGACAGTTTGCTCGACGATATCTTTGTTCTGGCTGAGGGTGAGGTAGATGCTGTGTTGTGGCTGCACGAGGGAACGGCAGATTGATCATTTTTTGTGCCTTCATCATGTAACCTGGATGTGTCGACGCACCGTAAAATGCGTGAATATGGCCGTAGACATAGTCATTCTCTGCTTAAGAGTTTTTATGCGCAAAAAACTTAACGTAAGTAATGGTTTCGTAAAGGTAAACAACAGGCTTGAGGTTGTGTTGCACAGTAAACTATGCCAGCAATCAGTGAAACACAGTGTGCTCCCGCCTATACCAGCCGCAGAAGCCCATTCAATGGTAAAGAGCATGCCACAGCAAACAAATGATCGACTTACGCCCTTTCTTGGTCTCTGTTTCAACGGAGTCTATGATGCAATAAATATCTAGCGTTCCCTTGTGCTGCATGTTTACTCAAGGTTGGCAAAGTGACTGAGGTGCTTTATTTATAATCCGGCCATGTGCAATTATGTTTAGGATGGCTACATGCCACTGCATTGGGCGGCACAGAGTGGATACACAGCCACTATGGAGCTATTGCTGGACAGAGGTGCATCGGTGGATGCAGTGGGCCAGGTGGGTCAGCATATTATTGTTTTATCGTTTGCGACCTTGTGTTGGCACTGTTTCGAATTGCGCGGGCAGCCACCACAATGTGTCAAGCTGAGAAGCTGCTTTGTTTTGTGGTAGCATACTGCTGCCCTAAAATGTGCTTACTCTATATTGTAACAGGCACCAAATGCTTCAGCGATTTCTTGTATTGTCTGTTGCGTCCAGTTGTGCATTTTGTTGTGCCCCCTGCTTGTGCAGGGTGTCCAATTCGTTACATGCACTAAAACAGCGCTACCAAAGCCTGGGAGCAACGAGGCTATATCGCGCAATTTGCACAGGGTGGGCACAACGATTGTATTGCTTTTGCTAATTGCCTGTCTATGTGCATGCACCTTGAAGTATGCCTACACACCACTCAATTGGGCAGCACTGGGTGGACACACAGCCATCGTGGAGTTGCTTTTGACCAGAGATGCATCTGTCAATGCAACGGACCAGGTAGAGAGCACAAGTCCTTTCTCTCTTCCAGCCTTTGTCTTGTCCTTGTTCTGAAATGCCCAACTAGATGCATCAAGAATGACAGTTGGCTCGTGCATTGTGGTGGCAACGCCTGTCATTGGATGGGCTTATGCAGTTCGCGTTGGCAAAGCGCTCTCTGTATTGTGTCGGTTGTTGGTGTGTTTACTGGTCACCACAGTCCATTTCATTGGGTTGCATATCTGCAAGAGCCGGACAGAGTGGCAGGTGCATCTTTGCTGACAACCTGGCAATGTGAACAATGCTTGTAGTATGGACACATGTCTGACGTTTCACTTTTCTGAAGTAGCTATCATTGATGTTGTAGTGGTCATAAGTCGTGTTTCCTTAATTGACTGTTGAACAGTCACTAAATCGACTCCGCTCCCAACAATCCAAATACAACTTCTCTGTCGTATGCCACTATGTAGTGTTGCAGGTCAGAAATGAGAGGGAGACGCCAGCTTTTCAGATAAAATCGCGGAAATGTGGATAACAACAAGGGGCAAGTACCATGTTTCCTCCATTTAAGGTCCCAGTCAAGTACTTTGTGTTTCACGCCGCAGTTGTACCTTTGGAGGGACCTGCACTTGTGTTCAATGGCAGGCAATTGCCTGTCGTGTGTACACTCTTGCATATTGCAATATGCAATGTGCAGTATGCAATATGCAATATTCTGTTGGCACGTGCGGAGTCAGTACTGACTGTGTTCATTGGTATTTGGTAAGCGGCTTAGTGGATCTACAAGAACCACACACACAACAACCTTTCGTGCAAAATATCGTTAGTGAGCCAATAACATAATTAGTGTGCAACATCTTGATTTCCAAGCAAATTGTAAAAACTATTGTGTTCAATATATGCAATCGACCCATAATGCAATAGACATGTTCAAGATCAATGAAAAACATGTTTTGAAGTTGCGCAACATTACCATTTCTACACTTATGTAATATCCGCTAACGACATTTTGCATGAAAGGGTGTTACACCTTCTTTTTGAGCTTCCATGGCAGCGATGCATCCTTGCACTGATGAGCATGTTGGCTTTCAGAGTCCGTTTATGCTGCCATTCAAGCCTGTTTGTTCCCAGGAAGTGGCAGTACCATCAGCAGATGACACCTGGCTTGAAGTGAAGCGAGTCAATTGTGTGGCGTTTTGCTTTGAGAGACATGCATGCCTGATGCGATGTCCAATGTAGTTCATCTTTTCAAGTGGAGTATAGACTGTCGCGGACATGCTGCTTTTGTGTTATCTGCACACCGAGGCATCTCAGGAATATGCTGGCAGCCAAGGCTGTCTGTTCGTGTACTTTGGGAATCCATATGTATGGGAAAGGTGGCTGGATGATCTTGGGTGAACGCTTTTCTCAGGTTGGAGACACCCCGCTGCTGCAAGCATCCACCAATGGCCATTTAAACATTGTTGAGAGGTTGCTGGGCTGTGGCGCAAACGTGGATGCCATCAACAATGTGAGACTGCTGGATAGCGCGAACGCTGCACATGGACACTCTTCCTAAACGTTGTGAATACAAACAATGGCGAAATTGTATTAGATGTCTCATGCAGAAATGTGGAACACTTATTTCCTGATGAAGTTCTGTGTCATTTTCATGTTACTAATGCCATTGCATGACCGTGCTCTTCGTGCATCAGCGCATCCCAAAAGCAAGCCTTGGCGACGTTTTCAGCGATTCCTGATGCAGTATGATATGAACCAAATTAAATAGATGGAGCTCCAACGAGTCGACATTCGCGAGAATTGAGCTACCCACGCAGCCACAGTCGAGGCAATTTGGCCATCATCGCCTCCCAATGTCGTTGCAGTGAATCAACTCCCATTTGTCCCCTTTTTTGTGTCTTTCGTTAGCATATGTTGTTTCTGGTAATTTCGATGTTGCCTTTTCAACGTTGCGCTTATTAGACACTTGTCTCTCATGGTCAAGTTGATGCTGGTTTGAATCCAGTTCTGCAACGGTCATACATTTTATCAACCTTTCCTGGTATGCAACACGCATGATTGGTATTTGATCTACAGAAGAAAGAACATTGCATATCAGAAAATCGAATGGGCGAGAAGGTATACTCCACTAGCAAGAAAAAGACCAAGTAACACTTTTACGAACACACATAAAACACATTTCATCAGAGTTCTGCACGATAGGAACACAAAAATAACAAAAACCCGCAAAATTTGTACACGTTTGAACACGTGTTATTTGGACCTTTTTTCCTAGTGCTCTTTTCTGTCTGCACAAGTAAAGCACCATTGTTTGATACACTGGGAATTGTTTTCAGGCAGGAGAGACCGCATTAATTGTGGCGGCGAGAAAAGGGAAAAAAGCGGTTGTGGATTTGCTACTGAAGTGGAGAGCACGAGCAGACGTCATAGACAAGGTGCTTGCTTGCTTGAATGACAGCTATCCTTGGAGAAAATTAGCAGTTGTGCTGAATATAAGATCACCTCTCAACCTCCCTTTGCAGATTGAAGGCACTGAAGGCGCCAAATTCCAGCAATGTAGCAATGTGTGATGCGTTGCCGTGAAACCATGTCCCCGCTGCGCGCCAATCACCAAAAGTAGATGTGGTGATCAGAGAATTGGGGTTGATTCCAGAATATGGGATTTGGCTGAGAAGGTTTCTTTGTTCAATCCATGCTTATGCATAAACCACTTTCAAGCGGTCATGTGGCCCTGCCAATGGAGCCTGCAGCGTGTCATTCTGGAAAAGTTGTAGTGTTGTGTAGGGTGTGACACCAGCCGAACTGTGAGCAGAGTGGGAAATCTAGCCTGATTGCGCTCAATTTCCAATCACCGAATCGATCAAAACCCAAAGTAGGCATTTTTAAATCCCCAGGGGGGAATTATTCGAAGTGGTGCGAAATTGCGCCCCATGACATGATGGCAGGTTCTGAAAGTCTCTAACACTGATAAAAAATCGGCCAAAGCGAACCTACCTGAAAATCGTGTACTGTGTTACACGTGTAGAAATCGTGTAAACGTCATGTGCCAATCGTGTACTAACCACAAAGTACACGGCTGCCGCTGGTACACGGTTGAAATCGTGTTTTTTTTTAATCGTGTTGCTCATGACGGTAAAGTGGGACACTGTCGTGCACTACACAGGGCTGAAAACTACACGATTTTGACACTCGTGTAAAATCGTGCTCCAAAATACCCGATTTTTACACGATTTCACACGATTGTGAAATGGTGGAATTTTTGCCAGTGACGATTGTGATTTTTTTTGCCCACAACGTACGCGATATGTCGTTGCCACGACATAGCACATCCTTGGGCTTGAGATTTCGTGATTCATTCGGCATGCTGCGGGGTTCTGGCAATCATCCAGGATGAATTGTTGACAGAAAATTTGGTGTCCACCTGACTAGATTCCAGTGTGACGCTCGTGGCAAGTCTCCGCAATGGAGCGTGCTTGAAGCAGCGCTTGTTAACCTAAAGCTCATTGAATCGGCCGGCTGTGGCTCCTGATTCTTTGCCTCTTGGTTGCAGAGTGGACAAGGGGCGGCAGTGTACGCAATGAAAAGCGGAGACCTGCAGCTGGCCGAAATGCTGTAAGTGGGCCTTGATTGCATTTGTCGCACGTTGTGCCTTGTGCGTTGAGCATACTGGGGAACAAACAGTTGAAATTTGAGCGGTCTTTTTGCAGTGTGATGGACTCATTTTTTTGATTTTATTGGTGTCGACTTTCAGCTACGCCGTTGCTCAATGAAGCAGCGAATATTCTCCCTCAGCTGGATTGTCCACCAAACTAAGCGTTGACACCTGTTGTTCAGGGAGGTAGCAGCGAGGAAGCAATATTGTACAGGAAACGCCTCTCCAGGCCGTGCTGGTGATGGAGCTGCGAGTAGTCGATGACTCAATTGTTCAGTTGGGGGCCTAAACCTTCTGCAAATCTGGAGCAGTGCCGACATAGCCTGACGATATGAGAGTGGCTAGAGAGACAATTGAGTGGTGCTACGCTTCCGTCTGCGAATCTTCTGCGCTGTTCCGTGCAAATGCAGCGACAGACACACGCGATTTGGGCCTTGCAACTCTGGAGCATGACTATAAACATATCACCAGAATGCGTTGAGCTTGATGTAACATGACGGCGCGCATGATGCATATTGACACGTCCCGACGCACAGCGCCATATCCTTGTAAGGCCCAGGTTCCTTGATTCACGCCTCTGAGGCCCAACTGAAGCCACCTAAGATGGGGTGGCCGTGGCAAAATGACGCACCCGGCTTGAACGCCAAGGGAGCGTGAACAATATTCTGTGCCGATGCCAACTAAAACTGAAGGAAAAGGCAGAAATTGTGCGGATTTGCAGAGAATGGAACGCACATTGTAATCAGGCGGGGCTTCTGGGCCGTGACTGATGGTAATCCATGCCAGAGGCAATGCCAGAGATGGCACAGACTACAGCGGCACTGAATTCCAGCCGTGCGAAAACGCCCTAAAGAAGCCCATCAAACAATGGAGTAGTCCAAACTGAGGCCGGGGGCGACAGTAACACGGCACGTTTTCTGGTTGCACAATGTCAGCAATGCATGCCAATGGCGGAACCAACAGAGAGTGTACTGTGATCAAAGTGCATGTCTCACAGAAACGCCACTGCACCATTTCAGTGTGTGATCTCGGTAGCAAAGGAGCGCAGCTGGAGGGGTCCAGGATCGCGACTGCACTACCATGGCGCAGACATGCGAAAGCTGTGCCAATAGTGAGCGGCCCTGGGAAACAAGGATGCGGCTACAACAAAACTGAAAGATGGGCGTGTTGTTCTGCTATTGCATTTTGGCCCCACGGCACATCGATATATATCGTATATATACGGCAAACTCCTACAGCAATCAAACCAATCACATCCTCAGCGACGCGTTCGCCTGGCAAAGGACTTCTACCCACATTCACTAGGAAAAAAAGGGCAAAATAACACGTGTTCAAACGTGTACAAAGTTTACGGGTTTGTGTTATTTTTGTGTTCTCAGCGTGCAGAGCTTTGATGAAATGTGTTTTATGTGTGTTCGCAAAAGTGTTATTTGGCCCTTTTTTTCCTAGTGATTGCAGCGAAATGGCCTTGCCCCCACACGAGCGAACAAGGGTGGGAAGATGCTCTTCTGCATGCACGTCTCCAGATTTGCGCAGTTGCGGATAGAATGATCAAGGGAACTCGACCTAGCGTATTATGAGTGCAAATGGATCCCAAACACACACGCCCCGGCACAAAATCCCGATAGGAAGGCAATGAACGCACTAGGTGCTGTCCAAATTTGGTTGAACTTTGTTTTTGGTGTAGGACACATTAATGTCTTGCATTGGTGCACTTGTTGAGTCGGGCGGAAGCAAAATGGTGGCTAACAACAACAAACCTATGTAGTATATGCAGTAGTGGGGCTCAAGTCTCTGAAATTCGAGGCAAGCCATGACATTCACAGGACTTGGACCCCAAAACAGCCATCCTGATGCAATATTAACAAGTAACCTATGCACCCCTGGACAGAGAAACCCCCCTGTTGTAGTTGGTTGGGGATTGAATGTACGTGTGCACACATGCTGAACCGGTGTGCTTGTGCCACACTCGTCGGGGCGGTGCGAATGTAGTGGGCCACTACTGGTGGTATGGATCGACACATTGTACACGCACATACTTTACTCATAGAAAGACAGGCCACAGTCTATTGTATTTAATGCTTTGTATGTTGTGGTTTGCATACAATATATTTCTCATGCCATATTTTGGGGTTTACAACGCTACACTGCAGCACATACTGCACACGAGACACAGTCCATATCTGACGAGATAGCATGTTTAACGCAGTGCTGCTGGCACCCCAGCTGTTTTGGTGGGTTGGTTGTGGAGTCCACACTCATGTGCACACTGTGGACACCGCGGACTATGGATGGTCTTGTACATTGACTACCTACTGTCCCGCATTATGTACACCGTGCGAGTTAGCCAAAACAGAGCAATTGGATGCCGTTTGACCTCACCATCTCCGAGCTACCGTATTCCGGTACACCGGTATACCGGTATTGCCGCTGGTATTACCGGGATAACCGGCACCGTATTGCCGGTATTACCGGTACCGTATACCGGTATTGCCGCTGTGAAGGCGCCGGAGAAAACGCAAGCAGAACGGGCTCTTTTGCTCGCAGGACGCCCTCTGGCGTCGACGGGCTTCTTGAGGATGATGGGATCCGGCTGTTGAGAGTGGTGCGTGTGGACGCCGTGGACTCACGGGCGCATGCTCTCCTAATTTGCGCAGCGGCCCCGTGTGCCTATCGGATTGGATCCTCCCGTGAATCCTGCCGTGCGGAAACACGAGCCAAGACGGCACTCGGCTGAGCCGGCGTTGATCTGTTCTCTGCCGGCGCTGCGCCGGCTGCCGAGGGGCCGACGGTCGCGTGCAAGAAAAGGGGGGCCGCAACCACCAGGTTGGTTGGCGACCCTGTCGTATTTGTGACCCGTGGCGTCCTCATTTGACCTGCAACTGCCACATCTCGGCGGGCGCATCTTGCGCGTGATGTCCCCAGAATCGATTGCCGCCTCCCGCAGCAAACCGTGGCGCCATCTCTGTGGGATTTTCGTAAGGGCGCGGGAGGGGCTTATTCATGCTGGCGTTGTGCCTGATCTCATGCCCTCGTCGTTCTGTGGGCCCCTTCGGCGAGACTGTCACACCTGCCGCACCGCGATCCCGTTGGGGCTTGAATGGAGCCCTTGTTTGTTGATTCCAGAATATTACATCACATTTCAGTGTCCAGGCGCCTCCCCGTCCTGTTACAAGCTTTTTGTGCCTTGTGCCACCGAACAAGAGCGTGCAAAGCGATGTGGTTTGAACGGATCCTTGCCAGCCAAGTTTCTGTCGGCGGGCTTGTGCCCAGTCTGTTGCGTCTTGATGTCGTGGATTTTGAGACGCCTTGTCCTACCTCCCCATCCTACCCAGCAATGGTTCACTGCGCAAATCCATTCACGACGCTTGTCCCCATTGGGAAATGATCCAGTCCACATCCGCTCCAGCAGTGATTGGCCGCGAAAGTCTGTTCACTGCATTCGGCCGCGTTGATAAGTCAGGATGCTCGCAAGACGTTAGAGACGGATACTGTTTTCTCAGGATGTGCAGATGCATTCGGACACAGCAGATGAGTGAGTTGGCAATGGCATCGGGCTGTGGCCTTGCTGTGACACTTTCTTATGCCAAGCTCAACAAGAAAGCAGTCCCCCAGTGCATCCGTTTTTTCATGTATTGATGGCGTGGCAGGTTAACAAATCCTCCTAGACACATCCCTTACTGCAGCTCTGTCGGAAGGAGGAGAGATGGCCACATCAGGCGGAGACAAGGTTGCGGAACCTCAAGAGGCCAGCCCTGCAGTGCTGTGCAGGCTGATGGCTGCCACCGCAGGCCAGGTCCTGAGACGGAAGAAAGCGGCAATGGGATCGGGTTGCTGGGAGCCTGTTCATCTGTTGGTTCGAGTCGACTTGTGGCTGATCGCTGCTCCATCGGGGAAGGAATGCCCTACAAATTTAGCAGCGTGGAGGAAAGGGGATCGCATCGAATTGGCGAGGGGGCAGGCTGTGGTGGGATTGGGCAAAGGGGAGGCCGAGTGGTTTGTGGAATCTGACGGAGGCTGCCACGTGTTCAAAGCTGAATCGCCTGCTGAAGCAGCGTGTTGGGTGTCTGCGCTGAAGCGACGGGTGTGTTCATGGCATGAGCTGCTTCAAGATCGAACAGCCTGGGAGCAGGAACTGTTGCAGAATGTCAATGCATGCAACGAAATGACAGTACCTGTCCGTCTCGATCGATTGCAAGCCTCTCAGGAGATGGTGAAAGTGTTGGGCGAGGTTGCCGAATTCACCAGGGAGGTGCTGAGCACTCTGCCCATTGCTGGGCCTGCTCTATCACTACTGGGTTTTGCAATGGAAGTGGTGCACCGAGACATTTCTGACGCTGAAGAGCTTCGCCCAGCAAAATCACTGCTGGAAGAGGTGGCAAAGCTGACGATTAAGACACTGTGCAGAGCTATGAAGGTGAAAGATGAAGAGTATGAACAGGGGCTTTCAGAAGTGCTGTGGATGATCGAACGTGCTGCCCGTATGCTTGAGAGCCATGAACACAGGTCCACAGGTACGCGGATAAAGCAGGCCATGTTGAAGATGGGCGAAGGGCCATCAGCTGTGCTGGATGTGCTGAAGCAATGTCAAGACCGTCTCAACACCCTCAAAATCGACAACATCGAAAACCTCGAGATGTCAGGTATGTGTTCCTTTGCACTATTTCAGCAGCTGTCGGAACCAGTTGACTTGCAGTTTTGGATGGAAAGAAGTAGTTCCCAGCAATTTGAACCATACTTGTGATTCCAACAATGCACAGTCCTGTAGTGGGACATGTTGCAGGAGACATGTGTGCTGAAAGAGGATAAGGTCGCAATTCAGAATGTCATGCATTTTTTCCCATTTTGTAGCCGATTGTGTAGCCGATTGTGGTCTCAAGTATGTTTCATTAGTTGTTGACTAGAACAGCAGTGAATGCTGATTTATTAGCCCTTGAGAAGCAGCTCCCAATTTGTGTTGCTCCAGCCTTCAACATAATTCTCAAATGTTGCCATTCTCTGGGCGAACCTGGTGTTCGTTCTGTTCCAGTTTATCCCATGATAAACTGTTTGATAATGTGTCCCACTTTGAGTATGTGAAGTCATTTACAAGAATTTGTGCACAACTGATATTTCTCTCTGAAAACCTGTGTCCATGTTTTCAGACAACAGTACACCCTGATTTCCAGAAGATTCAGTACCCAGGCTGCACGAGTACTGCCAATACCCAGTTATGCATGCCCGAGTAATGAAAATCCCTGTAACTGGTGGCTGGGGCTGAGTGCCAAAATCATAGGGCGGGCCTGGCAACAGGGAGATCAAAGCCTGCATGTGAGGTAGCTGTTTGGCAAGCATTCTTTGTTCTTGCCCGAATACTCAGGATGGTTAGTATCCATGTGATTGGTGCAGGAAATTTTGCGTCTGGCCTTGGGACTCAGGTACCATTATGAGTCGGGACCACCCACCACTTGCATTTGTGTCTAAGACAATCAGGGCAGAAGTTGAATGCATTGTTAATTACTCAGGTACCAAGTACGTGCCCCAAGCTGTAGTTGAAGTGCATCATCATAAAGTGGGCCTGTCGCCATGGACTACTCATGCTCTTGTTGAATTCTTAACATCAAGAACATGCCTCAATGCAAGTCCAGTGACAAATCCTCTTCACAACAACTGCGATGTGGGCGAGGTTTCTCCATTTTGCTCCATCATATTTCCATCATATAACTCTTTGTTTGAAACATCTATCCAGGATCTCATTGATCCAACAAGATGACGAAAAAGCACTCTTGCTGGGTTCGCTCTTGTCTTTCATCCTGACGTGTGTTCCAGATTGTGTGTTTGGCACAACGTACTTTCTTTCAGCATCGGAACACAGAATTAGAAGATATATGCTTTTGTGATAATGGTGTTATCTCAAAGGGCACTTCTTGTTTTTGATGCGCAGGTCTCGAAAATCAGGAGCGACTGCTGGCAAATCAGCAAAAGCTTCTTGCTCAGAAAAGTCTCGAGCGCAAAAACCAGGAGGAGATATTGGCAAATCAGCGAAAGATTCTTGCTCAGACAAGTCTTCTGCGAAAGAAGCACTGCGCACCCTCCTACATTCCCACTGCCCCAGATGCAGTTGCTCTGGAGGGGCAGTTGTGCGCTGTAAGAAACATGCTGTTTCAAAATGAGGCCAGTTATGTGGTTGTTTGGGGGATGGGGGGCATTGGGAAGACCACACTTGCAAGAGCTCTTGTTGGTGATCCCATAGTGCAAAATGAGTTCAAGAAGCGCGCTTTTGTGACTATATCACAGAATCCCAACATTGTGCAGTGCCAAAAGCAGATTTGGGATGCGATTGTGGGCCATGAACACAACGTGCAGTTCACCAACGCCGAAAATGGCAGGCTGAGACTGCAGGCTGCATTGAAGGACGAGGTTGTGCTCATTGTTCTTGATGATTTGTGGGACGAAACGGACATTGCGCACTTCGATGTTGTGTCTGCAAAGAGCCGAGTCGTTATCACTTCGCGAAATAAGGAAGTGGGAACGTGTGTGGGGGCAAGGTGCTATGCAGCAGTCGCGCTCAATGCGGACGAGTCCATGGAGCTGTTTTGCAAGCATGCGTTTGCAAGTGGGCAGCCCTTGAAATGGCGAGCTCCACATGTGAAGGACATCGTGAGAGAATGCGGTGGTCTCCCCCTTGCACTGAAGGTCATGGCGGCAGAAGCGAAGGGCTTCAACACAGGAGAAGGGGCTGGATCTATACCCACACCATGGGAAAAGAAAAAATGGAGGAGGGCAGTCGAGGGCATAAAATCGGATGGAGTGGCGTCCAAGGGCGTGTTTGACAGAGTTTTCGCCATGAGCTTCGATTCTCTTGAAGACCGCCATCGAGCAGTGTTGCTTGACTTGGCGATGCTGCCTGAAGACCATGAAGCAAGAGAGTGCGATGTGGTGGATATGCAGGCTTGTGATGACTTTAGCGCTGATGAAGCTTACGATGTGCTCGAGGAATTGGCACAAAGGTCGTTGATCATCCGCACAGGAAAGCATCAAATGGATGTGTTTGAGTTCCAATCTGCTGGTTTTGTGACGTGCCGCCTGCATGATGTGGTGCGCGACAGTGCTTTGAAACTGATTGCTGGGCGGCCCATTGAGCAGCGCGACCGCGTGGTGTCTTCACACCTCAAGAAATTGGGCCTCAAAAGCCAGATCCTGTCTGCAACCAAGTTCTTTGCAACACACAGCATTGGGGAGGACCGACAGCTGGACCTGCAAAAGCTGGAAATGCCCGAGCTGCAGACCCTTGTGCTAAGGAATGCAAAGATGTTGGAACTGCCCTCATCCCTACTGACAGCAAACTTGGTGGTGCTCGATTTGACATCTTCGGGAATTGTCAATCTGCCCGCACAGGTTGCATGCCTGCAATCTGCAAGGGTGCTGCGGTTGGATGATTGCGAAGAGTTGTCATGCCTGCCAAATGAAATTGGTGATTTGGCACAACTCACAGTTTTGTCCATGCGGAGATGTCGGCACATCTGCGAACTGCCGAAGTCCATGGGGAGGCTGTCAAATTTAACAAAGCTACTTATGCCCGGCTGTGGAATTGCACAGTTCTTGCCAATTGATGAGGGGAATTTGCAGAATTTGGCCTTATTAGATTTGAGCAGGTGTTTCGGATTGAGATTCTTGCCTTCCAGTTTGGGGGAGCTGACCAGTTTGACAGCTTTAGATTTGGATGGTTGCTGGCAGCTGACCTCCTTGCCATCCAGCATTGGGCAGTTGGTACAATTGGAGGTGATGCTATTGCACGGATGCGAAAGTCTCATGGAATTGCCCATTGCGGTGACCCTCCTTGGGAACTTGACAGAACTTGATGTCCAAGGATGCAGCAAGCTGAAATGCCTGCCTCAGGGTCTTGCTGATGGGTGCCCTGAGCTCAGAGTATTGCGCCTTCAGGATAATTACGACATGGCTTTCCCAGAAGTTGTCACGGAACTACAGCAGTTGGAGGTGTTGGGTGTGCGTAATGACTGGACACTGCCAACCAGCATGAGTGAGAAATTGCAGGACCATGAGATGTCTTTGGAGTCGCTGGAGTGTGAGCCCACCGAGGAATATTCATCCACACAGTACGAGGTGGGTGGCGCAAAGCTGTGTGATTTGCTGGAAGTGTTCCATTTGAGGTGCTGTAGTCAATTTGGTGTGGCCTGCTAACCATTGATGGAATTCGTTTGTGACTTTTGGGGTTAGCGGCAATGGGCACCAATCTTCTGTATGCAGTTGTGCATACCAATATTTCCGCGTGGCGCATATGCTGGATCAGCGGACAGAAGTATGGTTGCACAGGAAAGAGATACGCCTCTTCACTGGGCGGCAGCATTGGGCCTGACAGAGATGGTGAAATTTCATCTTGGAGAAAGCAGTGGGAACATTCAGAGCAGTGTAAGTTTCTGGAAAGAACCTTGAAGAACGCATTGAAGTTCCCCAGATGTTGTGAACTGTGACATGCCACTCCGATTGGGCTGCACTGATTGTTTACTTGAACTGAGTTAACGATCTGCTTGGAATATGTGTTGAACTTTGTTCTCAACAATATCACCAGTGAACCATGGATTAGTTTTGGTAATCTAGTTTGGATGCTGCTGCTCTGTTAGACTAACGATTCTCCCCATGTGGCACCTGTGACTGCAGTGTTCTTCCCAATCGTGCTGCCCTCTGTTTCATGCTCTTCCTGTTGCTCATGGTTTTCGTCATAATCTTCCATGGAAAACTACTACTGGAAAAGGGCTGCTGCTAGAGTTCTTGATCAACAATAGGTGCCACTGCACGGCACGCTTCTGTTTTGTTGAAAGCAGCACTTTGCCTCTCAAGGCGAATGTGGAAAAGGCAGTTGTTCTTCGGGTGGAAGGATGATATAGCAAACAAAGACATGGAGGCTGCATGTTTTTCTATGCTTAGCTTTGGCTGGTTTCTGTCAGAGTCCAATTTTCCTGAAAGGATTCCATAGAAGGGTTTCAGTCTGTGCAGCGCGGCTCATTATGCACAAGTATACAAGAACCAGGAAAAGGGGCCAACAAAAGCAATCTTTAACCACTGGCAGTACCCTTGGCAGCAACTGCATGGAAGCAGCGGACCCCATCTGGAGTCATTTCAGACAAGGCACTATCTGTGTCACGTGCACCTGGCCTTTGAATGTGCTGCTGCATCTCGTGTTGCCAATGGCGCACAGTGTGATCGTTTGTTCCTGCTGTTGTTTACTGTGTGGTGCAGTCTGCCTTGTTGTGGTGCATGTTTGGACAGCTGAAGCATGGTAACCAAGGTGTTTACTCACGGCATTTTGATGTGTATTCACCATCCAGTGTGGCTACACGCCCCTCCATAGGGCGGCACAGGGTGGGCATACAGCTGTAGTGGAGTTGATCCTGGATGCGGGCGCATCTGTCGATGCAGTGGACCAGGTGAGCTAGTGCAACACCTTGTAGCCTCGTACCGCCATGTTCTCGCCCTGTTTTGAAATGTACAGGAATCCAACAGAATTTGTCAAACTGCAATAGTGGCTCATACGTTTGTGGCTGCTTATGCCTGACTAGTAAATGGGCTTCTCCTGCTTGTGTAGCCGCAAGCGCTCTGTGTGTTTTGTTGGTTGTGGGTATTGTTGGTCGTGCATGACAATTGTCTTGATGCGGTGCATGCTCACTTGTTCAGGCACGGTGACTGAGGTGTCTTACTTACAGACTTGCACTGTTTGATTTGCCTTTCAGAGTGGCTGCACACCTCTCCATTGGGCAGTGCAGTATGGACACACGGCCACGGCGGAGCTGCTCCTGAGCAGAGATGCATCTGTTGATGCTGCAGACCAGGTGGATTAACACACAGCCGTTTTGTTTCCTTACACTCTGTTCTTGTGCTTATTTGACAAGCGCAGGTAGCCAACAGAATCTGCCAAACAGTAAGGCTGGTTCATTAATTTTGTGGTAGCATCTGTCTGACCACAAAATGGGCTTCTGTTGCTTATGTTGTCCAGTGTCTTGCATTGGTTGCTTGCATTGTTCACTGGGCACCACAGCCCTTGTTGTGCTGCATGAAGCATGGTGTGAGCAGAGCAACTGAGTTGCATTTTCTAACAGCTTGGTAATGCATATTTACCTTCCAGTTTGGCTACACGCCACTCCACAGAGCGGCACAGTATGAGCACTCAGCCAGTGCAGAGCTGCTCCTTGACAGAGATGCACCTGTCGATGCCATGGACCAGGTGGGTGAATGCATGGATTTTTCGTCTCATACAACATTGCGCTTGCCCTGTTTTGAAGTGTGCTGGTAGCCAACAGAGTCTATCAAGCAGCACAGCTGGTTTATTGGTTTCTGGTATCAAGCAGCTGACCACTGCATTGGCTGCTGCAACTTGTGTTGTCAAACATACTCTTTGTGACTCATTGATTGCTGGTGTTGCCTACTGTGCAACACGGCCCCGCTTGCTGTGATGCATTGTTGCAAGGGATGGGCAGTGAGACTGAGGTGGCCTTGCTGAGAGAAATGTAATGGGCATTCCCTTTCAGGTTTTTGGCTACACACCACTGCATAGGGCAGCACAGGGTGGGCACAGAAGCGTTGTGGTGCTACTCCTTGACAGGCGAGCATCTGTTGATGCTGTGGACCAGGTGGGTCGACGCACATCCTTTGTATCTCAGGCAACCTTGTTCTCACCATGTTTTGAAGCACAGAGGTAGCCAACAGATTCTGTCACATAGCCAACTGGTTCATGCAGGGATGGCAGCATTTACCTGTCCATTGGAAGACCTTCTGTGACTCATTTCGCCACAGGCACTCTGCGAGTGTTTTGTTGATTCCTGACTTCAGTTTTGTTCACCACTGTCTGTCTTGTTGTGCTGCACATTCACATGAGCTGGGCAGAGTAACTGCTGTGTCTTCACTGACAGCCAATAATGTGCTCAACTTAAGGATGGCTACACTCCCCTCCTTTGGGCTTCGCAAGGTGGACACACGGCCACTGTGGAATTACTCCTTGACAGAGGTGCATCTGTGTACGTCATGGACCAGGTGGGTTAGTGCACAACCTTTGTTCTCCTGCAGCTTTGTTCTTACACTGTTGCACTGAAATGCACAGGCAGACAATGGAGACTGCAGAGCAGCAGAAGCGGTTCAACTGTACTTTGGCAACATGTGCTGGAAATCGGTTTGGGCTTTAGCGAGGCTTGTTGCCAAAGGCACTCTGATTGATTGTTTGCTGCTGTTGTCCACTGCACGCCACAGTCTGTCTCATTGTGCTGCATGTTTTCACATTTCCATGTTTTGCTGCTGAGTGACAGATGTTTGTTTATTGACAACCTGGCGATATGCACCTGCCATCTGCCTTTCAGGCTGGCTACACACCGCTTCATTGGGCGGCACAAGGCGGACACAGTGCCACAGTGGAACTGCTCCTAGACAGAGGTGCATCTGTCGATGATGTAGATCAGGTAGGTGGAGGCATGGCCTTGTCGCCTTGTACTACCTTGTTCCCACCATGGTTTGAAGTGCAGAGGTAGTCTGCAAAATGTATCAAAAACAGATGCTGGTTCTTTTGCCACACGCATGTTCCCATTCATCGAATGGTCTTGTGCACCTCGTGTTGACCAAGGCATTCTGTGCGCTTCGGTGAATGCTGGCATTGCCTGACGTTCACCACAGTGCTTCTCTGTGTGCTGCATGTTCGCACAGTGCAGGCAGAGTGTCTGCCGTGTCAGTACTGACCGCCCAGTATTGTGCAATAACTGCTTTTCAGGCTGGCTCTACACCGCTCCATTGGGCAGCACAGGGCGGACACAAAGGCACAGTGGAGGTGCTCCTGGACAGATGTGCATCCGTCGAGGCACTGAGCCATGTGAGTCCATGTACAGTATTTTGGATCACACAAACTTGTTTCTCCCCTACTTTGAATCGCACAGTCAGCCAACAATGTCTACCAAGCATCAAAACGGTCTTTTTCCTTGTGGAAGCATACGCTCTACCCTGGAATGCCAGTTTGTTCCAGACAGTTTGGTGGACACTACCATTGTGGAGTGGACATTATGGATCCATATGGATGTGGACTCCATTATTGAGTCAATTATGGACAATCTTTATATTATAGACACCATTATGGACACTATCCATATACGGACTCCATTATAGAGTGGACACTACCATTATGGACACTACCATACTTTGGAGGCATCACATTGTGATTGCTTTCATTGCCCATTATCACCAGCTAGGTGCATGTGTTTGCTTTGTCATGGTGTGACAAGTAAGTAGTGTATGTGGTGTAGTATGTTGTGTACATAGTGCAGTATGTAGTGTACATAGTGTATGTAGTGTAGTATGTAATGCATGCAGTGCTGTGTGTTGTACATTCGACCTGTGTTCCTGTTGCTGCTGCGGCTGTTGCTGTTGTTGTTCATTCTTCGCACAGATGCATCATCGTGTGAAGCCATGGCATCCGCCAATGCAGTTATGGAAACCAATGCACAAGATTATGCCCAGGTCTGTTCAGGTCTCCTAAAACACAGCTCCGGTGGTGGTTGCAGCTGTCTCAGATCGCCCAAGAATGCCCCACAAAGCAAGACAAAGTTGCCAAACTACTGATCAGCGTGGCATGTTGCACCTCATTGCAATGCTCACTAGCTGCTATGGTCTGAATCCTGTCAACTGCTGATCTAAACTAAGCACTTGAAAAAGTTTTCAGAAGGCTGCAGGAAAGTGTTTCATGCTCCTAATTGAACACAACGTGCGCACATGACCATTGAATGCACTTTGCAGCTCATGTTGCAACTGGCACCCTTTCTGGCCTTGTCTGCTGTGCACCACAGCCCTTCTCCTGCTCCATGTCCGCACAGGGCAGGCACAGTGACTGGGGTACGTTTAACTGACAGCCTGACAATGCACACTTGCCTTCAGGATGGATACATGCCACTCCATAGGGCGGCACAATATGGACACACAGCCACCGTGGAGCTGTTGCTGCACAGGGGAGCACCTGTCAACATTCCTATTCGGGTGGGTAAATGCATAGCCATGGTGGCCATGTTCTGAAGCACACAGTAGCCAACAGAGTCTATCAAGCAGCAAAACTGGTTCATGTATGCGTGGCAGCAACTAACCATTGATTTGGGCTGCTGCAGCTTGCAGTTTCACAGGCGACCTCATGCAGTTTTGTTACTAGTAGCTTGATCTGCTGTGCGCCACAGTCTCTCTTGTGCTGCATGCTGTTTATGTTTAGGGGGTAGGCAGAGTGACTGAGGTCTTGACTGACATCGTGGTAAAATTGTGCATTTGTTGCACAGACTGGCTACACGCCGCTCCATTGGGCAGGGCAGTATGGACACACAGCCGTTGTGGAGTTACTGCTAGACAGACGTGCATCTGCCGATTTGCAGGACCAGGTGTGTCTCGTAACAGCCTTCATTTGGCCTGTTCTGAACTGCATGGGTAGCCCACAGAGTCTGTCAAGCAGGACGGCTGATTCATTTGCTTGTAGCAGCAGGCACTTGATCATTGAGTGGGCTTCTGCACCTCACGTTGGTAAACACACTCTATGTGTTGTGTTGGCTGTTGGCGTTGCTTGCTGTTCACAAGACTGTGCCTTGCTGTGCTGTGCACATGTTTGCGTGTGCGGGCAGAGCTACTTTCTAGCTTACAGTCTAGAAATGTGCTTTGCCTTTCAGCATGGCTGCACATCACTCCATCGGGCGGCTCAGGGGGGCCACGCAGCCACGGTGGAGCTGCTTCTAGACAGAAATGCGTCTGTTGATACGATGGACAAGGTGGGTCAATGCACACCCATATTGTCTCTTGCAGTCTTATGGGGTCAGCCGGTCTTCCCACTTTCATTTGCGTAAGTGAGCAACAGAGTCTTTCAAACTTCCAAGACTGGTTCATTTGTTAGTGACAGCATGCCTATGACCATTGCTGGGCATCTGGTGGCTCCTGTTGGCCAAGGCAATTTGCTCGTTTCCTTGGCTCCTGGCAATGTGTGCAGAGCTCGTCTTATTGTGTTGCATGTTTGCAAATGGCGAGCAAAGTGACAGGGGCGTCTGTACTGACGGCCTGATGATGTGCATGTGCCTATTAGGATGGCTGCACGGCACTCCATAGGGCGGTACAATATGGACATGCAGCCAGTGTGGAATTGCTCCTTGAAAGAGGAGCATCTGTCGATATTCCAAGCCAGGTGGGTCATCAGACAGCCTTTCCATCTCATGGAGCACTTTTTCCCTTTCTTGGAAGTACACAAATGGCCAACAGAAACCATGAAGCAGCAAACTGGTTCATTTACTGTGGCAGCATCTGCGCCAGGGGCACAAGATGGCCACCTACTTTCTGCCTCTTGTGCCGGAAAATATTCGCTGAAGGAGAACTGGAGCATGCCCAGAGGACTGCTACCTGCTTGGCGATCTAGGCCTTGCAGTGTCCTGCTTCTGCCAAGAAAACCCAATCGGCGGGCATTCCCGAACTAGAGCATCACATGGTTGCTGCCTTCAGCATATTGGCCAGAATTGGGGTGCTCAAATGGGTTGGGAACTTCCCCTCACAGCTGCAGCTTTTGTATGGTTGCAATATCACAGCCATGCCGCATGAGCATTCAGCAACAAACGTGATTGTAATTTGTGTGCTGTGCAGGACACCCTATATTGTGATGTGTCAGGAATCTGACGCACATGCTATCCTGCCTATGCTTTGTGTGCTCAGGTCCCATTTCAACCTGAATGTTTCCTATGCAAACGCTCTCAACTGCTTTATGCTCTTCCAGTGAGTCATGTTCCCCTCATTCCTGTGTCCTAGTGTCTAACCTGCTGGTGCCTAATTGATCGTCAATAGTGTCCATTTGAGTCTGTAACCATGGAGCATTTGTGCTTGAGTTGCAAAAGATACTCTTTGTGTTTTACGATTGCTGGCAGTGTTTCTTGTGCGCGACAGTCTGTACCGTAGCGCTGCATCTTGTAACTACGCAGATGGACCCATGGAGGTGTCTTTACTGAGTGCCTGGCAATGTGCAAACACCCCTCCAGGCTGGCTACACACCGCTCCATTGGGCAGCAGAGGGTGGTCACACAGCCGTTGTGGAGCTACTGCTGGACAGAGGCGCTTCTGTCGATGCGGTGGATCAGGTGTGTCCGTTCATCGCCTTTTTTTCACATGATGTTGCTGATATGTATTGCAGAAAGTACATATCACAACTACAATTTGTTGAGTGATGATTTGTAGAGTTGTTAAGTGCATGCATAGCCATAAAACGTCTGTCAGTGAGGAAAATTGTTTCAGTAGTTGTGGCAGCATGTGCCTGACCATTCCATTGGCTTCTGTGGCTCAGGTTGCCAAGGCATTCTTTTAACTATGATTGCTGCCTGTATTTACTCTGCATCAGAGTGTGTCTTGTGGTGCTGAATGTTTGCACAGGGTGGGAGCAACTGAGATTTTGACACTGACAGCACCACAATGTGCATTTGCCTTTCAGGATAGCCACATGCCGCACCACAGAGCGGCGCAGTTCGGACACACTGCCACTGTGGAGTTTCTCCTGAACAAAGGTGCATCTGTAGATGCGCTGAGCCAGGTGTGTCAGCACACGGCCATTTTGTTCGTTCAGCCTTATTTATCCCCTGTTTTGAAGTCCAGAGGTGGCCAGCTTTATCGAGCACACAGAAAGACCCGGTATATTGCTTGTGCAGCAGAAGCTGTGAACATGGGATGGACTTGTGTGGTGAAGGTTGTCAAAGGTGCACTCTGTGCAGCGCTGGTTCCTTGCTCTGTTTGCAGTACAGCACAGCCCATCATGTTGTGCTTCATGTTTGCCTGCTTCTGGCAGAGTGACCAAGATGGCGTTACTTACAGCCTTGCACTGTGTATTCGCCTTTCAGAATGGCTGTACAGCACTCCATTGGGCAGCACAGTATGGATACATGGACACTGTGGAGCTGCTCCTTGATGCGGATGCATCTGTCGATGCTGCAGACCAGGTGGGCTGTTACGCTGCCTTCTTGTCCCATACAGCTTGTTCCTGCACTTTACTGAGGTGCATCTGTAGCCAGCAGCGTCTGCCAATCACAAAACTGATTCATTTATTTGTGCCAGCAGCCCGCTGTTTATTGGTTTACTCTAGCTCAGGTTGCCATAGGCATTGGGTTCTATTCACTGTAGGTTCTTTTGCTGTGCACCAAGGTCCGTCGGATTTGGGTCGCTTTTTTATGCAGGGTGGGGTATATGACTGGCATGTTTTTACTAACAGCCTGGCATATGCTTTGATAACCTTCCAGGATGGCCACACGCCGCTCCACATGGCCACGCAGTATGGGCACACAACCACCGTGCATTTTCTCCTTGACAGACATGCATCTGTTGATGCGCTGAGCCAGGTGGGTCTATGCACAAGAGCTTGTCACATGCAGCCTGGTCCTTGCTCTGGCGTGAAGTTCCCCACAGAATCTACCATGCAGCCGATCTGCCTTATCGTTTGTTGATTTTAGCAAACTCCTTACCATTGAATGAGTCTCCCAAATTTGATGGTTGATGTTGAAGCTGTTGTTGCTAGTGCACATTTGATGCTGCAACCTGAACAAGCATGTTGGCAGGCAAGCTGCTGCAGCTGATTGAGTACAGATTGTCTTCGACAGAGTATTGCTCGATCTCTTTGCAGATTCTCATCTTCTTGCTGAATGTTTGGGAGCATGTGTACAACTCTCTGGAAGCATCCGTTTGTGCACTTTTGAATGGTTTGGGTATCGAGAATCACTATTACTGGGAGTGGCAATAGCACCTGAACAGTCGGTCACATTGCAGACTGAACTGTTCAACGCCTGAGCCTAGTTCATCGTGGGACTGTGTAGAGACCTTGCCTGGCAAAATACATGAAACAGGGGCGGCCTCCCTGAAACAAACCCCGGGAGTGTTCAATGCCCTTTTCGATCTCTATGCAGCTAGGGGACATGTAGCTATGCTCGCCTTTCAGTATAGCGCTTTCTGCAAATGCGTTCACAAGGATCAGTGTGGCATATGTCCCATGATTGTCCTGGAACTAGTTCACTTCTTGAAACGCGCCCCAGGAACTATAACCAGATTAAGCAATGTAAACTGCCTTGAAGGAAACAGATTGGTTGTACAGTTGTGGGCACGGGAGGCGCTCCATCTGGACTTCATGGCAATACCACCTGGGATGCCAAGTCCCACTTGCGTCCCTCCTTTCCCCTTGTTTAGCCTGCCATGGTTCTCGCCCAACATATCTTTCTTCCGGCTGTTGCGAGGTTGCAACTGGAACTTTGCACTTGTGAGCGGGTTAGCAATAATTGCCAAGCAGATGTCTATCTGAATCTACATTGTCGCTGCCCATATCTTGTATCAACCATTGCCACATTCTTCTTATGCGACACACGTCGATGATATGGAAGCTGTGGATGTGATGATGCTGCATTGCACGGGATCGCACATGCAGCATCTGCACCCTTTTCTGTCTGCAAGCAGCCGTGTTTGATGCTCGGAAGTTGTTTGCAGGCAGGTGAGACCCCTCTGATTGTGGCGGCCAAAAAGGGGACAAAGGCGATTGTGGATTTGCTGCTCAAGGGGGGAGCACGAGCGGACGTCGTAGACAAGGTGCTCACCTGCTTCAAAGATTTTGCCCTCCAAGAAAGCTAGTCGATATGGTGTTACAATACTAAGATCACCCTTAAACCCTCTTTGGCAGATCAAGTGCATTATTGACACCGCTTGTCAGCAACACTGAATGGAGTAGCTGTGATACCGTAGCATATCCAACCGTTTCGCCTTTTGGAACTTTAGCGTTACTGCTTTTGCTCTGCATGTTTTCAACATGCAGTAACTATGGGGGCTCCGCATCATGTTCACAGCCGGAACGGCGGCTCCGGTCAGTTCGAATGGCCTCAAATGTGGGCTTCCCTCTGCACCGACTTACGCATCTGGGGCCACTAGACGCCACGAGCACTCCAGAGAGCCTTGCGTCGCGGCTGGGGCTATGTCACATTTTCCTGGCAGCTTTACTTTTGTAGCGTCGCTCCACGTAAAAAGACCAAACGTTGCGTTGCAATGCGGAAGGGCATAATATGCTACGGTGTGTTGCCTGCAACGCCATGGTGTGACTGCTGGGACCGATCAACACGTGCAGATTTGATTGTTACGAAATTGGCGCCAATTGCAGGACGCAGGCACTGGTACGGAAGGAAAACTGCTCTTTCCGCACACCAGTGGAAATCACCTTGAGGCGGCCACACGGTCTTTTCATAGTAATGCGCAGCGATGTCCCATATTTTGCGAATTGCAAGACTGGGCAGGGTAGTGACACAGGTACCACTACTTGGGCCTGGCACCAGGCCCAGCTATAAGCAGCGCGGAAAATGATGGTGTGATGGCCCCCGATTTCCAGCTACTGAATCGAGCAAGGTGACAAAGAACTCGTTAGTTTACGCTCAAAGACGAACATGGTGCAATGAAAGGAAATTCTGCGAAATGTCGCCCCTTGTCACGCATGATCGCCGGTTCCCCAAAACGCCGAAGCTCGCAATGCCAAGCCAATAGCCTTGCGCCAGGTCGCACGCGAATTGTGCTGCATGTTCGGCAGCTGCGAGCTCTGCAGTTCGCTCATCAGCCCATTGAACACTGGAAGTTGTCCGGGCAATTTTCTGTTTAGGGAACGGCTGGTTATGACGTCATTGGATCGCAGCTCGCTGGCCTGGCACGTGAATGGGCTCACAGCTCAATCTGCCATGGAACCTGTTCGGCGCAGCATTGTCCGGTGCAAGGCGTTGTATGATGCGTTACGCCACACTTAACGCATATGTATTGGGTCCTGATTCTCTGGTTTTCATTGCAGAGCGGACAAGGGCCGGCAGCGCTCGCAAGGGCAACTGGGGACCTCGAGCTGGCCGAAATGCTGTGAGTGTTATAGATGCGTTGATGCAATTTGCGTGCCGGCGGCTGGGGCGTAGTGGGCAAGAAACAACAGAAATCAGCCCCGCCCTGCTGCTGTTTGCTGATGGACTCCCTGTGCGCGTCATTTTCGTGAGCCTTGAGCCACATAGTGATCAGCGGAGCATCGAATCCGTGCTCCCTAATTCTTGATCCCTCCCTAATCCCTGGATTGGGCATTTCCCTGATCGCCTGCGTTTGTTTTTCAGGGGGGCAGCGGCAGGGGAGAAAGGCGATGTCAGGGAAAGATAGTCGAATGGCGAGTCTGAGATGACCAGCCTTTCAACCATTGGTTGAACATATTGGCAATATGCTTCAGCTCTGTGGCAGGCTGACGAGATGGGAATGGCGGGGGGGAGGATTGAACGGACGTGCCGTGCGTTGAACTGGGCGATTCCTGTGTACTACTCCGAACTGTGTACGATGAGCAAATGCTTCCTGACCCCCGCACTTTCACCCCCTACGGCTCCGAAAATTGCGTCTCTTTCTATTCCTTTGGCTATATTTGGCTTCTCCGGCAGCTTGTGGGGTCCTCCAGGGTGCACGGAAGTAAAAGTGGAATTGACTATGCCCTCTAGTGTTGTGCTTATAGCCAGACTGTACAGTTCAGTATATTGAGCCACACTTACACACATCTGTTAGGTGCACTTGGCAAGAAGCATTACCATAGCCAAAATAGTGGAAGGGCTTATTTTGTCACGTTCTGGCAAATATGTCGGGGCCGTTAACCACTGCATCTCTGGTGTGTACAAGCCACCAATGCACACACTTGAGAAATGGTCTATTTCAATGCGTTTTTTGCACAATTGGTACAAGAATTTCAGCACTTCAGCACGATTCAAATTGACACGCCACGAACGGTGCTGTGGCAAATGGCCAATCTCTTGCCATCGCACGATCGGAAGTGTCTTAAAAGGCCCGAGAAGACCGGTGAAGTTCACCGAGTCGGAGGACACGATGTGGCCCGTTGTGCGGTCCATAACGCAACGAATCGCGCCGCATCGCAGCACCGGAAACTCCCCCGAAGCTGGCGGCTCTCTTCCCAGCCATCCGACTGGGAACCTCCTTACCACTGCCCCCGTGCGCCCTCTGCTCCGAAGCGGAGTTCGAGCTGGCCCAGCCTCGCGCCGCAAGACCGGGCCCCGATGTACTGGGCAATCAGACCCAATGTCACACGATGAGATCGCACGCACCCTTCTCACACCCAACTCTCGACTTGGGCTTGCGCCCAACGCCACAGCCCTCTTAACAGGCGCCCAGCCCGCTCTCTCCCCCGTGCCAACCCACCGCCCGCCGCCCCGCCAAACCTCCCCCAGCATCCCTGCGCTGGCCAGCGCGCCATGGCCACGCCCATTGGCCGTCAGTCGCGGAGGCCAGCACACGCAATCGGCTTCATCCTCTCCACGCTGCTGCTCGTCGCCAGCCCGTTGGCCCGTGCGCAGGACGCCCTGACGGAGCCCGAGATTCAGATCCTGGAATTTCTCCAGGGGTCCGTGAATGCTTCTAGCTCCCAGCCATCGTGGGTGGCATCCATCGATGCGACTTCGGCCGTGAGCGCCCGCGTGGGCGGGAAATTGGTCGTGGTGTCAGTGATCACGCAAAAGGGCGAGACGCGCCGGGCCGATCGGCCGGACCCGCCCGGCGGCACCGACGGCTACCTGCTGCTCAACCAGACGATCCAGGGGGTGCAAGGCACGGGGGAGGATCAGAGAAATGTGTCTTTCGGCTGGGTGCTCGAGGTTTCCACCCTCGGGCTTGATGAGGCCGACGCGTGGCTGAGGTATTCGTCGGTCGTGCCGGCGGTATTGGGTGCTGTGCTGCCCAGCGACTGGCAGATGGCCACGGTCTTCAAGGACGAGGGAGACACCAGCTTTGCCGGCATAACCGAGCCCTATTTCAGCCTGGACGCAAGCGTGTTCAAGTCCTCGGCCGTGGAGGAGGTGATCGAGTTGGATGCGGCCGAAATCGATGGGGAGGAGTCGAGGGTGGTGTGGGTGAAATGGAGGACCCGCCCCAAGGGGGCGCAGGCCGGGGAGGTGGCCAACGAGCTGCAGCGCGCGTTCAACGGATCGGACGCCATGCCGCTGCCCGAGGACGCCAAGAACAGCAGCTCCTCGGTGTCCTGGTACTGGGTGGGGCGTGACAGGGGGCTAGTGCTGCGGGTGGAGCACAAGTCGACGACGCCCACGGCGGCCGGGGGGTCGATAGATGTCGATCGCACTTTCGCGTTCTCCATGTACAACGAGACGGTGACGATCCCCGGGCCGGACGCGGAGGAGCGGGCGGCCGTGAACGGAGAGGGGTGAGGAGATCCGTGCTTTCATTTTTGTTGCGGGGACGCTTGAGGGGGCGTGGGGAGTTTTTACCTTGGCGGATTTTGCGGTTTAGAACTTTCTTCGCCCGTTTACGATGTACAACAGCACGGTGGGGATTCCTGGGCTCGTTGGTGAGGGCAAGCGGCGGTGAGTGGAGATGGGTGAGGAGAATCTCCCGGCTTGTTTTGTCCTTGGGACGCTGCAGGGGCCGTGGGGAGTTTGTGGCTTGGGAATTTCTTCGCGTTAGCAACTGTCTTCGCATTTCGATGCATAACGGCACGGCGGAGAGTCCTGAGACGGATGGGAAGCAGCGGGGGGCCGTGGACGGGGAAGGGCGAGGAATGCTTGCGTCTTGAGGCAAGCTTGGCTGATTGTTGGGACGCGGGGCGGGGGTAGGGGGTAGGGGGGAAGTTTATGGCTTGGGACTTGCTTCGCATTTGCGGTGATCTTCGCGTTTTCTACGCATAACGGCACGGTGGAGGTTCCTGAGCCGGACAAGGAGGAGAGGGTGGCGGTGAACGGCGACGGGCGAAACGATGCGTGCGGCTCGCCTCGCCGTTGGGACGCGCCAGGGTCCCTTGGGAAGTTCCTGGTTTGGGCTTGGCGGCTGTGGATGGGCATCTGCCGGGGTGGTGGAGGGCAAAGGGGAGATTAGCTGGAGGGGTGGAATGGATGGCTGCAGGAGCGGCCGCCCGTTTGTCCGTCTGTTGGGATTGCAGCGGCGAGGGGTGGCGTGGAGTGGAGTGGGTTAGACAGATGGACTGCTGATGGTTGGAGAGGTGGATTGGGTGGGTGGGTGTGCTGGGGTGTGTGTGTCAAGATGTGCGCTAAATTATGTTGAGGCATCTCCATCCCTGTTTTCCAAAGCCGCTACAACAAGAGACCAGGGACACAGCAGTGCAGAACCACAAATGGGTTTTGGGCAGGTTGGGAAGGGGGGGCGATGTTCTGTTGGAAGACTTCTGATTCCTTACCTGGGAACGGTGTGTCTTGCCTCTGGTGGGTAGGTGGACCCAAGGTTCCATTTTTACCATGTTGAGCCGTAGTTGCCTGTAAATCTCGATCAAACACTAAGGATGGCTTTTTGTCCAAAAATGCTGTTGGTCATAGAGCATCTTTGGGTTGTGTCAAATATCTGCTGGCAGCCATGAAGTCATGGGGTGCAGCGGATCGGAAAGACAAATAGCATGTCAAACAGTTGGTTTTTATATGGCGGGAAAATGCGACAGTTCCGGCATGTGCTGGGCTCAACTTGATGTCAGGGGATTGTGCCGCCTCGCAAGAAATCAATGCCTTGCCAGCTCCCGGGGATAAGCGTGTACAGAAGAAGCAAGGGCTTGTCCCAGAGCATCGCTCTTCAAGATCAATATTGAGTACTGATTTATTTCATCAACAGCAAAATGCAACGATGGAGTAGTTGCCAGCACAGTGGAATAGGTCGTTTTTGACATTTGCAGAAGGGTGAAACACAGTCCTGCCAGCACGTGGGGACTTCACATCAACCAATTAATATCAGCACAAAATGAACATCGAAATGAATGTGCATAAAAACGCATGAACACATGCTCTGCTTGCATGCTGTAAGCTGTAGTATGATCTTACGCTGCAATTGTTTGGGGCCGGGGTTCAAAGTGTACAAATTAACACGCCGCTTGATTCGACCACAGCAGTCGAAAAAATGTGCAGAGCAGTCACTGGGCGCTGCAGTTCGGGGCCATCCAATAAAGCCCGCTGTCTTTCGATGAGTTACAGCAATCGCATCAGCCGTCAGCAAAGCCTAAACCCCAACACACAGAAACGAATTGCCCGATATAGCCTCGTTGCTCCCGGGCTTTGGTTGCGCTATTTTAGTGCATGTAACAAATTGGACACGTAAACGAATAAAAACCCCAACTTTCAACAAAATGACAGCAGCTTTGGCAAATGACTGCAAAACCATGGAAACCGCTTTGCTTCTACGAAACAGGTAGCTGATGGCCATCCCTTGCCTCAAGGCAAGGAGGTCCAGGAACACAACATGCAATCGCCTAACAAGCTGGTTATGTGAAGTTCAATGGTGATGACCACCGCAAAATGACGTCATCGCCCTGATGCGTTGATAGCTCGTGAGGAGGGTACGGGGAGACGCATGCAACGAGGGTCTAGCAGAAGGGCAAAGGGCCAGAGGCCGCCACAGCACATATATACCCAGGGTACTGTCAGCGTCCAGCAGACAGGAATATGTCATACTTCGCAGTAACAGCGTCACGCAAGCACGTGCGCTTTCCTAATGATGACTTGGGCGCCGTGCATGGCCGTTTCTTGGCACCGCAGAAACGGACGTCATCTTCGCCCGGGCGCCTCCCCGTTGAATGCCTCCGCCCTTCACGCCGGTCCGTTGGTCGCCGCCCACAGCGCCTCCCCTTCCCCCCCCCGTCGTCCCCGGACGCCGGCGCTGGCCCGCTCCCACCCAAGGCCCCACGCCCATCCCCAGAATCGGCAAAACTCGGCAAGAAACAGCGAATTCTGATTCAAGAGCGGGCGGCAGATTCTTGAGGGAGGCAGGGAGAAAAATGCCTCGAAGGGGCGACCTTGGCCGGGAGCTGGGGAGAGAAGGGGTCGGAGAGGCCGCACTGGAGAGGATGGAGAGCCTGGGCATGATCCAGCGGGAGTTTTGGATTCAGTGCGACGGCTGCGGAAAGTGGAGGCGGACGACGGCGAAGGCGGCGGAGGACAACTCGACGCGGCGGTGGCTGTGCGGCGACGACGGGCGGGCCTGCTGCGATCCGTGCGACTACTGCGCCGGCGACCGATGCCGCTGCGACGCGTTGGAGGATGACGATTCCACCTGGTGCGTCAGCAGGGGCTACACTGTGCCGAGTGGCTTTGACGTGACGATGGGGGCGAGGGCCGGGAGAGGGGGGGCGCCGGAGGCGTGCGTGGCCTATACGGCGTTCTGCGAAAAATGCGGGATGGGATCCGGGGCGATTGATCGCAGGTGCGGAGTGGAGCGGTGGTTGAGGGAACACGGGGGGTGCAGGGGGGACTGGGGCCGCCTGACGCCCGGCGACTTCGACTTCCGGGTTCATGATGAAGTCAGGCGGAGGCTGGAGGGCGGGGCCGGGGGGGGGGAGGCGATCCCGGCGATGTGGAAAGCTGGGGGGCTGGCGACGGAAGGAAACGGTCAGTTGGCGGACGTGGGCAGAATTTTGGCGTCTGGCGTTCAAGGGGTGGACTGCTGGAGGCGGTGCCGATCGCGGAGCACCCGCAGTTCAGGAACGTGTGAGCGCCGCAAGGCGAAGGGGGGAGCTGGAGGGTTTATATCAGCGGAGGCCGGACAAAGGGCGGCAGGAGATTGTTGACGTTGTTTGTGCGAGATTGCCTTGGAAAGATAAAGCGAAGATCGGTGAGGTCCTTTGCGGAAACGTGCCTTGGAAAGATAAAACGAAGGTCGGTGATGTCCTTTGTGCAAGTTTGGCATTGAATGGGCCAATAAGGGAGAACGGTAAAGTAAGTTCTTGGCGCAATTTTGCCTCTGAAGTTGAGAGGAGATCGGCGGGTGAGCCGCGGTGGAGGACGCGCGAAAGGGAGTGCGGTCGGCTGCGCGGGAGTGGGCTGAGTTTGAGGTGGCGTGGACTGCGCATCGCTGGGTCGAGGGGCGTCAAACGCGGCGGTGGAGCAATTTTCGTGGAAGGGGGCGAGTCAAGCGGCGGTGCGGTGCGGAGTCCCTTTGGATCGAGAGTGCGCTGGTGGCCGATGGAGCTGGACGATCGGACGTTTTTGTTGGAGCGGCGTTGAGCTTTCCTGTTGCGCGACGTTTTTGGCCCCAGGGGAACAGCAGAGATCGGGGAGAATCAGATCACAGCCGTCGTTTTTTTGCTGGTGTTCTTGGGCTTTCACGCCGGAGGCGCTCGGCCCGACTCTCTTTGAGGGCAAATTCTCGAGACGATCGCCACAGGACCGCTCTGAGCACAGTCTGGAAAGAATGAACAAACTCGTGAACAGAAACATGCGTGCATTCGGTGCCTGCGAGCTTCGTTTGTGCGTTGCCTATTTTTTAATTGCATGGCCATTTGATAGGTCCAGGTCAGCGAGTATGTTGGCTGGCTTCAAAGCAAGGCTTGTATTTACCTGCCTGTGTGTTCTGTATTCCCATGCACTCTTCTTTTGTCACATCCATTTCATGGAGACCTCCTGCTGATACCAGGGATTGGCTACCTTCACGCACAGAATTGGGCATGTGAAGCCCAATCTTATTGTTGCATGCTTGTTGCTGGGGTGGCGTTGTGCGCAAGGGCTGATGCTTGTGTGCGTGTGACCAGCTGGGCTGCATCTGCATATCACCATCTCTATGACAGTGGCATATTCCTGTGATGCGACAGCATCAGCGCCCTGCACAAGCATCACACCCTTTTTCCCTCAAGTGGGGCAACAGGCCAGTGCCTGCATCTTCCCATCTGCATCTGGCTTTGAAGGGCTACCGCCCGGCCAGCAACCACAATTGTGGTCCACCTGTTGCGAGCCCTCTTGCACTGGTGCCTTTCTGTTGCATCAGTGTTTTCCCATTGCAAGCTGCCTTAATAGGTTTTGCCAGCCGCGTGTCCACCTCTGAAGATCATCTGCCTTCTGTGAGGTGACTTTGGCTACAAAGCAGGCCAGGCTTGGCCTTCGTGTGTGCCTTTCACCTTGCACTGTGTTGTGGGCTTTCCTCCTGTGCACAGTAGAAAATGTAGAAAAACATGAAAAAGAATTGTGTGCACAGAACCTTGGACATCGCCTAAAGTGGCATGAAAGCTGACTGACAGAACTTTTGCTGAAATGTGGATTGCACTGTGTACCTGGCCTGCTTCTATTTTGTTACAAGCCATATTGCTCTGCATGGCTGCAAAACAGGTTGCCCATTTGACTGCTGTGCATTTTGTTTCACTATGTGCATTGTGCTTGTGGTTGTGGCGTTTGCGTTTGTGCTTTACGTATTGCGGCACTGTGCTTTGCTTGGTTAATGATTTGCAGGTGAATCCCTTGAATTGTCTCACCAACCCACTTGCCCAATGTCTACACTTTCATGAAGACTCCACGCCAGTCTTCGTTGTTCTTCACTATAGACGCATTCGTAGATTTCTGCTCGGGCCTCACGTGTGGGGATGACTCATGGCTTGTTGTCATCAACAGATATCTCAGAAACGATACCCCTGTGAAGGTGTGCTCAACTGCATTCGTTTTCGCTCATTTTCGCTTGTCAATTTATCTCAGCAACGGCAGTAGGATTTGCTTGCTAATGCTGCTGTATGGGGCGTGTGGTGGTCTTTCGTCCTGGGGCCACACCAAAAGCTAGTGAAATTAGAAAGTATTGCACAAGTCCATGTATCGACAGGAAGCGAACTGGGCCTTTTGCTGTTGCGACGTAATTTGTAGGATGTGAGGTGGAGATGAACGTGCAACGAACGGCTGGACGATTGTGTCCCTTTTTTGTCTCGTGCTTCAAGGGTTGGACAGTTTTGTTGAAACGAGTTCCCTGGTTTGCCCAGTGTTGTTGTTGTGTTCTTGTGTTGTTGCAATGAATTTGAGTCCCAGTCTGCCAAGCCTTCATACCTCACAGTCCACACACGGACTGTGATAGAAAAACTCACAAACGCTGCCGAACAGGAAATCTACACTCTGTTTCTCTCGCCTATCTATAACGGGTCGGACATCGGCTCCAGTGATTGGCTGAGGATCAATCCTTAGTTTGGATGTATTGTAACCTAGATCATCAATGATTTCTTTAAACCATCAAGAACCATGGTATGAACGTTTTATTGACATATATAAATGTTGAGGTAATTTGCTGAGACCCCGACATCGCCAGCTTGGTGACCGGGCTTGCTTTGCAATGATTTTGGCAAATGTAATTGCAACGGATTTCAAAAAAAAAATGCTGAGACAGTCGTGCTTTAGTAGAAGTTGTGTGCAACAAATGTTGTGGCGTAAAATTGCCATTTTCTTCCTTGGCGGATAGCGCCATGTCCGTGTTGCCTCCTTTTCTCCGCTGCCGATAAATTCTCTTTCCAGCGGGTCCGCCCGAAACTACTTACTTCGCCTTCTCCAAATTACAAATTCTTCTAAAACGCCCAGAAATACCAGTTCACCAACAAGGTAGCATTTCTGGCGCCACAGTACTTTATTGCCCCACAAGTTGGCCCACCACGCCACCACAACCCCCCCTTGGTGGGCCATGGCTGCGGAGGTGCTCGACGGGGCCGGCGACCAGGCCAGCAACAAGACAGCGCTGTCCGCGGACTTCCAGAACCTTCTCAAAATCGAAAAGGTGCGCAATCCACCGCGCGAGCTTACGCGCACATTGACCACCAGCGTGTGGAAACAAACAATCGACCTTTTGCCTGCCACCAACCACGTGTTGTGGTCGCCACCATCATGCCGACAAGCGCCGTTGTCTTGGGAGGCGCCTTTCTGTCCGAACAGTGCGCCTCGCGAGGAAAATGCGCGTAGGTATGGGATGGTATGCGGAAGGGCGTGCACGGTTCGGAATGGGTGCGAAATGCGTGAGAGGGATACGGGGATATTGGAATATCTGTCAGGCTCGGCGTCCTCTTGCTGGAGAATTTTCCCTGCGTTCCGGGGCCCTCTGGAGCCCTCTATTGGTCGGGAAAGGAAGCACTGGTGCCGCTGGGGCGGGGCCGTCTGTGTTCCGGATCTTCAGTCGCTGTGCATGTTTCGAGTCAAGATGTTGCAGCCATGCACTAAGTACATTCAGGCCCGGGAGCAAGTAGGCTACATCGGCAAGTTTCGAGTGTTTGAGGAGTCCCTCAGGTTTGGGACGATGGGTGTTGCTGCTGGCCGGGGGCGCTCGCGCAAAGTGTTGCGTTGAGACGCTGGCTTTTTCTGTGCGCTTTTGCGCACCTCTGACTCATTTTGGCGGCATGAATCCTGATTTGCTTCCCTGAAGTGCCTCATTCTTTACACGACGGCAACTTTTGCAGCCGTGCTTTAAATGCTTCCTGGCGTCCTTCTTGTGGCGTCGTGTTAATTCAAGCCTCCCACTCGACACACGCGGAGCATTCCACCCTTGTGAACAAAGGCTCTGTTCCAGGCAGTGTGCCCAGCGCCTTGAAACCTAAATGCAACAGTACACACATTTCATCCATGTTTGTCCCCAGAACCCAGCAATCCAGGATAACTGTAGCGGACAGAAATCCCATGGTCAGTTTTGTTTCTGCTTGCTGTGACTGGCATCCACAAACACAATCAGATCATGCAAGTACTAGCCCTCCTCTGTCTCACAAGCTGCACCCTGCCACTGAAGGGGATGCAGTAGTTTCTGAACATAGGGAAATGAGCATGTGAGAATGACGAAGGTGCTGAGGAACAGTGCACCTGACACTCATGTACGCGCTGTAAACTGTGATGTGCAAGACGCCAAGCACAAAGGGAGAGCACACATTGCAAACTAGCGCAGTTGGCAGCAGACTTTCTGCTGACGGATGTCTTGTTGGTGCTTTTTCAGAGTGTGCTTTCTGTGATCTGTGCAAGACGCTCAGCACACATTGCAAACTAGCGCAGTTGGCAGCAGACTTTCTGCTGACGGATGTCTTGTTGGTGCTTTTTCAGAGTGTGCTTTCCTGTGTTGATCTCAGTGCGGATCTTGTCGAGGAGCTGGCGCAGGTGGGCGAAGCGGACAAGCAAAAGGCATACAAATTCTGCAATGAGTTCATGAACAATGTACAGGTGCGGAGAAGTGTGCAGAGAGCATTGGAATACTTGTACTGGGCATCCATTGCAGCAAAATGGCACACAAAGCCCCTGCACCAACCTTGGTGATGACTGGCATAATGTACAGGGTCGCTGTGTTTGTTCCCTCGAGGACTTTGATTCCCTGCTTTGAAGGAATCGAAAAGAGAGATCGTATGGCCTCCCAGTTCCTGACAGCAATACAATGCAAGCACTGTGTTGTACTGTTGTTGAGGGATGTTGTGGCTGGCAACTTGTGTTTGGAATGAACGATAGATTGAATGACAACCTCAGCCATCCCAGAAAATTGAGTTCTGCTCTGCTGTTCGGTTGGCCTGACACATTGGGCAGCATGGACATGAATTGTTTAGTTTGCCAAGCAGTCTCCCACAGTGAACGAAATGGGCATGTTTTCAACTGTGCCCTGTGTAAGTGCTTGGCTGTTGGTATTTAGATGCATAGCCCTTGCAGACTCAGGGCTGCTGCCCTCAAATGGGCATGTGCAGATGGACATGGTTAGTCCTTTGGTCAGCAAGGTTACAGGGCATGCCAGCATGCTAACATGACTGGACCCTGCTTCCTTTAGGCAGGACCAACCCAAAGCCTAGTCAGACTTTGCCTCGTGCATCAAGGGGAACAGCGCAGTGGTCACTTCGGCACGCACAGTGCATCAGCAAGTACTGGCCCAATCACCCTTGCATAACTATGAAAAGATCATTCCAGGCAGCGGTGTTAGGCAGCTGTTGTGATTACCAATATGGCCCTGCTCTGCATTTCGGTCTGCCAGCATCCTTGAATTCCAGTGCTTGCTTTGATTTCTTTGCTGCAGACACTGGGGCCTGCAAAATCGCAGACGTTTGGCCACATGCAGAAGCTATCACATAATTGATGATTTACCGTCCTGCAGAACCCACATATGTGTCATTTGTGGAATCACATCGCAGCACTCAGGACTGTTTGCTGAAAATTTGTGTTTCAAATGCTTTTCTAGTTTTGCAGTCCACCAGCCTGGAAACTGCACTGATGGAAGACCTGGTGCATTGCAGATGCAAGGACAGCTTTTAGTCACACTACTGTACTGCAGTTTCCTGTCCTGCGATTGTATTATTAGAATATTGAAGTCAAAGTCTCAAAAAGACACCATCAGCAACACATTGTGCTGAGCATATTATGGCACCAGAAATTGCCGAACATGCGAAAAACAAGATGTTTAACTAGCCGCTGTGGATGTGCTGACCATCACATCGCAACCAACCAAGGGAACTGACACACAGATTGGTATTTTGGTTCCTAGTCCACACCAAACTGAACCCCCAGAGGGGCCCCCATTGCATTTACGACACTTTTGTCATGTTTCAGCGCCCGCTCTGAAAGCAGATTTCAAAGGTACACCTTTGTCGTTTCCCCCAGAATGCCCAACAGACTGTGGTGAGCGCTGTGGAGAAACACCATGGGCCTCGTGACTTCGAGGTGACCATCTATCCGTCTCTTGCCAAGAGCTACATTGTCGCTGAGAAGGTCAAGGTCCTGCAGCTGCACCTGAAGGAAATGGAGAAATGGATGAACTCAGAGGGCTGACAGCGTGGCAAACGAAGCAGGAGTTTTGGCAGCACAGTTAGAGGTGGTGCATTCTTGAAGTCATTGGGTGCAGCAGTCTGCACCCATGACCAAGCCCGCTTCGTGCACCTTGCAGGACATGAGGCTCGTCGTGATGACCAGCAGCATTGGTTCTTTATATTGTTCTGCATCACGTAGTGTGTCCACCCAAACGTAGTTGTTGGGGAAGTGGGAATCGGTTGATTGCCACTATGGCATGTGTTTCGACATGACGACGGAAATTTGATTCTCCAATGAACAATGCGTCGGTGATGGTTTTCCCAGTTCACGGGAAGGCACAATGTCGAAGTTGGTACCCTTGTGGTCATTGTAACAGTGTGCTCAGAATCCCCCTTCCCTGACCTAGCGCCAATCCTTATGTCAATGTCAGGATGACCCAGCAACTTTGCATGTAGTCAACAGCAATCCCATAATGGAACGCAGTGGGAAACTCACTGCGAATGTTGCAGTAGTTCTCCCCTCCATGGCGAATTCGATTGCCCTCGTTTCGCACTGTGCTCAACGCCACTCTACCATTGTGCTTTTGGCTCGTCTGGACCTGTTGTGCCCAGGTCAGTCTTCCGTTTGGTGTGATGCTTGATGGCTTCTGACACCTGGAGCAGTGGGGCATTGATCAAGGGGTTGGTGACATCTGGACGGGCTGGAGAGGGTCCTGTAGGCCCCCCGGTGATAGATGGGGCCAGAAACGTGGCCAGGACTTCACGACGTGGCCCCTGTTTAACACACTCACCTGACCAATGGGCAATTGTCTGTGAGTTGGCTACAGGTGCTTGGCCATGGGTGCGTACTGCGTGAAGTGGCCTCCGTTGTCAGGGAGTGATTCTCGGACTCTGAGGTGGGCAGTCAGATAGTTTTTGATCACAATGCGCTTTGGCTGGACAGACATGCTGAGAACTTTTGCCAGCATGCAATGTGTGCGCTCGGTCCTTTCGCTTTGCGCAATCCTGAGTTCGTGGCGCTTTTCATTTGTGAGCGGCAAATGAGATGATAATCTTTTGTTATCCCGCCGACAGACAGGTCTGAGTTTACAATTTCCTGCAACAATCTGTCTGCGTCGACTGCGAGCACGGGCTCAAGTCTCCATTAATGAAGGCTAGGAACAGCCCATCAGCCAAGACACCCGCCAAACATGGACTGAGCCCATGCAGACATTGCGGTTGCACAGAGCGCTGGGTGGCAACAGGGAGGGCCAGCACGAAGATGCATGAGAGTCATGCGTAGAGTCGACTCTTGAGTTCTCATGCTTTTGTTTGGTACCTCACTTTTCGTACTGGGCCTCCCTGTTGCCACCCGGCGCTCTGTGGAACTGCAATGTCTGCAGTGCGGGATATCATAGATTGCTCGAGGTGCGCACAGATGCTGCGAGAACTTCCCAAGTATAAAGCTGACTCCGACGAACATCGCATTTTTTCCCCACTCGTCAGCCGTTGTCTTCGTTTTCTTTTCTCATAACGCATGCCCTACAATGTGGGATTCATAGTGGAAGCTGGATCAGACTCACACGCCTGCACCAGACCTCTAATCGCAGATTAGGGTGGTGCGAAAAGCAGCAGAGCCAATCTCGCGGACGGAGAAGTACAGAATAAAGAGACGGTGACCTGTAGAGGAAATATTTTCAGAATGTGATCCAAATCTGGCGAACATTGAATGAGAGAAAGTTATCCGTACTTATTTGCAAGGGCACAGACAGCCTCCTGCAGGCACAGTCCATTGAACAGCTAATTCAGCAGTTGTTAACATTCGCAACGCATCAATTTCTCCATGCTTCTGAGCGGCTGGCTGAAAAGGCAAGGATACTTCCACAAGGAATACCACCCAAAGGACATTCGTCTTATTCCGAAGACGGAAGCTGCACAATTTGTGGACAGCAGAAATTCTCTCTAATGCATATTTATGGCAACGGTACTTCCCCATCAGTCCTGCTTGATGCAAGGGCGAAGTCATTGTGGCATCCTTCACTTACTGTCTGAGAGTGCTTCAGCTCAACCCACCGTTCGTCATGTGCATGTGTAATTTCTTTTCACATGCCACGAGTATCCTAATGCGCTTCATTTGCCTTTTGCATGAGTGCATGAATGGAACGTGGGGATGTTCGCTGCAGACAGACAAACATGATTTGGTCCTTTGGAATGCAAACCCATCCTCAGAAAATGCTATGCATGCATGAGCAAGGAAACAGGGACCATACAACACAGCGGATGACAATACATCACAAAGTCTTATTGCATTGCACCCATGCCACTTGTGTTCTTTTGGTGAAAGCCATCGCAACATGCGCGCCTGAACCAGATTGCCACTACCCTATCCTCATGCACTTTTAGTACAGCTGACCGCCGCATTCAAATGCAGCCGCCAGCGCACTCGGCTCGCCCAATGCCCCTTGCGAACGAGCGTCGAGCGCAGAGCTCCGCTCAGAGAGGCGGCGACTGACGGCGGACGGGCGACCAGCGGACAGAACTTCCCCCCACCAGTTAGTCGAAAGCTTCCGCACAAGAACGTCAAACTGTCCCGCCCCATTGGGGCGGCCTTGACCTGGCTCAAATGCCCACTTTCTCCTGCGTCTGAGCCGCAAAGTGTGAAAGCACGGCACATTTTGGCGCCTCGCGTTGGAGCCAGGGCTGTCCTGTCCAGATGCGCGGGCAAAGGAGGCGGTCGATATGTTTCACGACCGTCTCAGTTGGGATATTGCATTGACCAAGACATTTTCTGACCGAACATGCGCTCTGAGTCGCTCCCTGTGTCTCGCAGAAATGAAGGTACTCAACAAGATGCTGAGGTGCCTGCTCTGCATGGCGTGCTTGGCTCCCGACAAGGACGAAGGCGGAACAAGTGAGGGAACGAAGGATGCTTGTCGAAGAGGATGGGTGGAAAACGGGTTGCATCAGCGCAAATGACTACTGGCGATTTTCGCCCTTTTCGTACAGACCACTCAGATATATTGTCTGCTGCATTTGAGTAAGCAAATGGCAGGGGCGGAAAATGGATAATTCCATACCAGACGGAAAGTCAACGAGAATCCCTCAGAATTCTGTGATGATTAACAAACATTTGCGCATGTTTCCAAGAGTGTCATTTACCGAATATAAATTTGTCAAATTTAAGATTGTGAAATAGAATTTAGCCAATTGGATCGTCTTGGAGGCGACAAGTTGCACAGAATGTATTCTTGCACACGCAGAATTGCAGAAATACAACTCAGAACTTGCAGTTGCTCTATTGGGTTTTGTGGTGGTATTAACATAATAATTTCAACAGATTATCACCCAGATACGGTGTAGATCACTGGATTTGACCAGTACGAACAACAGAAATTTTGCTTTGTGTGTATCAGGAAAGGACCGCAGGAGGGCAAAGAAGTTGCAGAAAAAGGTGAGGATGCCACCTGCCATCGGACAGCCACATTTTGCAAATGTCGCATTTTTGCACGCACATTTTGCACCTTTGTCCAAAGCTTTGTAATGCAGATACTGGAATGCAATGAAATGTACATCTAGATAACAGTTCTATTGCACAGAAGTTGCGCAAATGGGCTCCATGGTACCTTCTAAATTACACGATTGGCACAACGCGCAACGCCACTGCGAGTTGCCTTGGCACCGTGGAAAAGAAAATGAATCGCAGTAGCTACGTCAACCGTTCCCATGCAAATCGCATAACTCAATGATCATCCATCATTTCTACATCAACATCCAGATAAAGGGCAGCGACAACTTTCCGCGCACAAAGCTATGAACACGGCAGCATCTGGCCCTCGTCCACATATCAATCAGCAAACGTTCTACAGCCGTTGATCATTCATCGGCTTTCACAGATTGGCCCCCAATGCAGTACAATCTTGAGGACTTGCAAAGTCTGCGGATCCCTACGATAGGAATTCACTTGCCAGGAGGCACTGTGGGAAGCATTTTCAAAAAGAAGAAAAGCTGCTGCTGAAAACCAGAGCAAATCAGCTTGATTGTCTCTATTCCATCATAGAACTCGCCGCCTTAAACCAGTCGCAATTCACCCGAAGTCCATGATCACCCACTCCACTAATTGGATTTGTGCATCTCTCACTTTGGAAAGGCAATTCACGATGTCGTGCTTCCCACAAAAGACACAGTCATGGCAGCACACAGACTGTTTAAAATTAAGTACATATTGTGTCATAATCCTTCCCCCAAAGACGTTATCCGCTCTTTCTGTGCACTGTGCAAAATGACATAAAGAACGAGCGAAAAAATCACGAGCAGGTAGCCCTCGAGCATCGCCATGGACCCCCCCTGCGAACAAGTCGAACAAGGTGAATGCCACAGGCAACACGAAAAGCCCGCCTTTGTTACCACATAAAAAATGAAACTCACTGATGTACAGCGAGTGTAGGAAGGATAGAAGACACGGTTTGTGATTTTTCACAGTCGAGATATGAAAGACACGAAAGAGCAGTGTCAACTTACGTGGCATCTCGGTGGATTCACTGTTGCGCGGAACAGCCTGGCAGCGATCGCCGATGGGCACCCAGCATGTATGGTATGAATAGAGGCAGCGATCTGCCTTTGATGAGCCGACCTTGGCCACCGTGGGGCAATTCTTCATGGGCCGTTTGCCGTTCCGCATTGAGCCTGACGGCGTCCGATTGGTGAAGTAGTGGCCACTTCAGCGATGGACATAATGGGGCGTCCTGGACTTCAACCAAAGGGGCTGTGGCTGCCCAGGTGTTGCGACGCAAACGCGGTCATTAGCATAGTGCAGAGCGGCAGTGCGGCCGCTGCACTTGAGTGTGGTGCCGTTCATGCAAAATGTCAAATGGGCTTCAAGGATATCCAGAGTTCTAAACGCCATCCCGATTGCTTTGTGGGACAGCACGATACAGTGCGGCCTAGCGAGGCGATAGCGAAAATTCCAATCACAACGGCATTGATTCCCTTCGCTGCGCCAGGAGGAAGAAGTGACTTAGCAAGACCGCCAGACAATCATGGTCG